GAATCCCCAGCTATCATTTGGACTACACCATGTGCTCTGTTTGACAAACCCCGTGATAGTCCTCAAGCTCTGTGATTGGAGAGTGTGCTCCGAGGGTTACGCCGAGCCTCGAACAGCACTTGAAATGGGATGGAACCACGGCAGACTGTCCAAAACTGGATTTGAACGATTTGTAAAATATCCATAAAGAAATAGTAAATCTGCTTACAGTTCTTTTTCATATGGGTGTTGAGATGTATCCATAGATCTCTTCATTTTGCTCTCAAAGTGCACCTTTGCTTTTAACTTCAATATTTAAAAAAAAATCTTCCCGGGGGAGCATGCCCCCGGACCCCCCTAGAGGAGGTGAGGACCCCCTAGGTGTTAGGTCCACTCCCCACTTATAAAAATAGCACTTTACCACTGCACCCTCTCTAATCTCAGTTGCACCCTTATACCTCATTCACACCAACGGTGTTTCAGGGCCGGTTCGGAGCTGGAGCTTGAAAAGCACCGGGTTTTCCTCTTCACACCGCAGCGGAGCAGCCTCTTAGCTCCGGAATCCGGTTCGTTTCAAGCACCAAAAAATTGTCCGGCCAGAGCAAAAGCACCACATACGTCACGCTTACGTCGAGGCGGGGGCAGGGGCAGAGACAGATCAACTCCTGAACAACAACAAAAAGCCCGCGTTTTATCCAGTTTGTACACAACGATGGAGAAACTTAACAAGAGTTTCAGAGTTTCAGCCATAGACTGTATAAAGGTTTCTGCTCATGGTGAAGCAACGTGTCTGCGTGTTAAGGTGGAACCTGAGCATTCACGTTGATCACCTCTCATTATAACTCATTATAAATCTATAAAACTATAAATATTAAACTTTACTTCACGTGTTCATTTGAGAACAGCTGTTAAATACCTGGGTGAAGGTTACAGTTAATGTAAATGAAAGATACAACGTTACTCAGAACTCATGGTTCAGTCCACCTTAAGAAATAAGAACGACCTCGGAAGCAGTTGTGTTTTAAAAAAAACTTTATTGACACGAGTACACTTTTTTATAAGAATATAACTAAACCACAGAAATGACTCCGGAAAAGCTGCAGATAGAGCCATAAGAAATTAATGCAACTGATTTCATCCGCGCGGTTTGGCTTTATGAAGCAGGCACGCAAACGGTTACGTCATGACGCAAACGATGACGCACCGACACATTACCAGTCGGACTCTGGGCGGTGTGAAAAGAGCCAGAGCTAAACCGAAGAACTGGTTCTGAACCTGAAAAGCTCTAGCACGGAGCTTGAACTGGAGTTGCGTTGGTGTGAATGAGGTATCAGTCATTTTGTTCTGGAACCGGGCCTGCCAGAACTACACATGCTGGCTATTGTGTTTCGCAACATGTTCTCTATCTATGGCACATCTCTACTGGGAGTTGTAGTTTTAAAAGACGTTTTCGTATTTCCCATAATAAGAAGTTGCCAGTATTAAACTGTGTACATCCCTGGAGGTTTAGGGGATAGGAAACACTCAAATTTAAAACATATAATTAATAAATGGGTGAAAATTGCTTGTGCCCATAATGGGCAGCATTAATATACACACATGCCAGCTAAGGTCAGAAGAGCTTTATTTAACAGCTGGTCTTATGTTTGTGACCCCTGTTGTTAATTGATAACATTACATTACATTAATTGATAAGCCTGAAACATGCACTTGTCAAGGTTCAGAGGCACATTTTGCAAATATGGCAGTAGCCATCGATCAGCTTAAGATAAGATATACTTTATTGATCCCAAGTTGGAACATTTGCGTTACATCAGCATGTGTAACAGTTGTAAATATGCAGTGGTGTTTATTTGTAAATCATTTAGTATAATCACACAAATTCTGTGTTTTATATTTAACAATTCTGTGTTCTTTATTTATTGATTGTTCAATACCTGACAAGGCCGGAGATGAAATATCTACATATCTTATAAGAGTATAATACATTATGTATAATATCAGTTAAAATAAGTGCTTCAACATAGTTAACATTGCTGGAGGTATGCACAAATATTGATAGATGTCTTGTAATGCACTATTGAGGAACCTGCGACCCAAGTTTTTCATTCAATGCATAACTACACCGTTCGTGGATATGATATGTCAATAAACCTTAGAAAATCTTGAAATCTTGAAAGGGATGTGCAAAATAGTCATTATATACAGTCTTTAATTAACTATTAGTAGAGAATAACGAGTAATGAATATACTTTATAGGGATCCTATTAATATCTAATAATAAAAATAATGAAATTCAATAACATGCTTTAACCACTAGGTGTCCCTTTATATCAGCTGTGCACCTTTATGGTGTAAATACAGCCTATCTACCAATTGGATCAAATATAAAAGTCAGCCGAATTAGTGTTGATACTGCAAGGAGACGTATTGTGTGAAAAGAAATGTAATATGTTGTTTAACTGCTGATATATTTATGATCCACGTCACGTTTTCAGTTCCTCATGTTTGTCTAGAAGTCTTCTCATCAGGGCTCTATAAATAGAGAACTACGGCAGATATGTAATATTTAATGCAGCCGAACCGTGTATTACAATGCCGTTATGTGATGACTTTCAAAGAGAAAAGCAAGCACACTCGGAATAAAGTATTTTTTTTTGTTGTTGTAATGTTTTCGGTCTGTTTCCGGTATTTGTTAATGACGATGTGCTGTGAGATGCGAGACTGGAATTGTAGGCCTACAGGGGAAAATAACGTAGGCTATCTTTAGATGCGAATTTTGTTAAACTAATACGTTTGCGCTGTGGACCAACACTATACATTGACGGGGAAGGGGGTAGCAATAAAGATAACACCATTAAACAGTTACACAACATAACAGAAATAATATCGATAGCAGCGTCCCTAGCAACCACCTTGGTAACAATGAAAACGTTCTGTGGACGCAATTTCCTGAAGTAATCTTCGTAATAACTAGCAAACTAAAGATCATGTCAATCCACTGCACACATAATCTGAAATAACAAGTCATATTTCTCGCATCAAATGACATCAAAACGCATTTTAATGGCCAAACTAACTTTAAAATAGGCATTTTCCACCGAGAATAAAACGAAGTTCGGCCATTTTTTTTTTCTTCTGCAGGGAGAAATTTGAAGATCACGTGACATAGACGCCAGCCATTGGAATGAATGGGTTTGTCAAACAGAGCACATGGTGTAGTCCTAAACGATAGCTGGGGATTCTGGGTAGTGTAGTGTCTTCTGCCATCCTTTACTCCGAAAAAATATTTGTTTCTCCGAATCGAAGGGGAAAAATACAAAAACATTGCACACAATTTAAACCAATCAATGTTGTGTAATTAACAAGGATAATCTGGTGTTTTTTAGTAAGTAATTTAATAAAAATCACAGTTGTATTACACACAATGCACTGTTTTTTGAGAACATAAATTGATAAATAATGCACCATAATACATTCTGACGAAAAATACAAATTATTATGATTACAAATAAAATAAAAGAAGCCTCCCATGAGTTACTACAAGCTATAAAGTAGACTTAAAAAAACGTTTTAGCTCACTGCAGAATGTTGTAGAAATGCGTGTGTGCACCACGGCAAAGGAGCCTCATTCACTTTACATTGGGGTTGTTTGCGTGGTGCAGACACGTAAATGTAACAAAGTTAGTGACTCCACCACGCAATGCGGTGTTAAGGAGTCGTGGTGGAGTCACCCATTCTGGTGAGATCAGGTTGCGAAATGCGTGTGTGCACCACGACAAAGGAGCCTCATTCACTTAACATTGGGGTTGTTTGCGTGGTGCAGACACGTAAAGCAAAGTTCGTGACTCCACCACGCAATGTGGTGTTAAGGAGTCGTGGTGCAGTCACGCATTTTTTAAATGGCTAATATTGGCCTACAATACCCCTTTATTGATCAAATAGGAATATAATTGTCTTTAAAAAACGTAAACTAAAGGGAGCAATCTATTTGACACAGCTGAAGCTCTGGCCTTCCTTAAAAACAAAGTAATTTAAAAGACAGTTGTATTACACACAATGCACTGTTTTTTGAGAACAAAAATGGGTAAATAATGCACCATAATACATTCTGACGAAAACATTATTATGAATACAAATAAAATAAAAGAAGCCTCCCGTGAGTTACTACAAGCTATAAAGTAGATTTAAAAAACGTTTTATAGAATACAAAGCTCACTGCAGGACGTTGTAGAAATGCGTGTGTGCACCACGACAAAGGAGCCTCATTCACTTTACATTGGGGTTGTTTGCGTGGTGCCGACACGTAATTGTAACAAAGTTAGTCACTCCACCATGCACGCAATGTGGTGTTAAGGAGTCGTGGTGGAGTCACGCATTCTGGTGAGATCAGGTTGGTCTGGAGAACAGCCTGGCTGTGAGTGTGTGCTCAGGCTGAGTTCCGCGATGTCTCGCTGTCTCGCAAACCCCAAGCAGCAATCAGGAAACAACACCAGTAATCCAGCTCACACTGTCCGCTCCTCACAGCAGCGAGCCCCGCAACGTCCCGCCAACACGGCACCCAGACCCCACGCAGCATTCTCATCTGTTTGCCATTACTGGTGTCATGTTCTGGTTGCTAACAAACGCCACTGTAACACATAATCACTGATGTTCCGCTGTAACGGTGGTGGACTCATCAGAACAGAGTGGGCGAGCTGACCAATCAGAGCACAGTGGGCTCATAGGGAGGGGGAGGGGGGGGGGGGGGGGGGGGGGGGGCAGGAGCTCCAACAAGCCGTTGAGGAGAGTGAATACTATACAGAGATGCTGTATGAGAAACCAATGTTTTTTTGGAACATTAGACAATGTAAATATATTCTAGTAGACCTCAATAATGGAATTACAATCAGTAGAAATTGCCATGTCAAGAGAACATTTTTTTCTTCAGAATTTCCCACATTCCACAGCATAAGTGAGCAGTAAAGTCCTCAATAAAACAGCACAAACAACAATAATGATCCAATCAAATGAATGCTCACCACAGTCTGAAGTTTGCCTGGGCGCAGATTGCTGAAGGGGAAGACAATGACCAAGAACCTTTCTAGAGTCAGGTAGGTGAGGAGGAGAACAGACACCTGAGGGGAAACACTCACTATGAATCCTCAAGGAACAGCTCCTAAACATAGACTGTATAAAAAAGGTTTTAACAATTTTCAAGATGGATTTCTTTCCTTCCAGACATTGGGGGCCCTTCTCACTTCTCTTATTTTTCATTTCCTCGCTCCTCGGTCTCGGTCTCACCGGAAGTTGATTTGTCTACGCCATCTTGAGTAGCGTCCCAGTGGCATTATTTTTGCCGGAGGATCGAGGAGCGATAATGGAGGAGCTATAATCGAGGAACCACCAGACCATCCTTCGATGAAATCCTCAGACACTCGCCCCCTTACTGTGTATCGCTCACTGATTGGACGATGCAGTGCATGCACTGATCTCATGCTTCTTGACATGAGAGCAGTTTCCCAGCGGAGTGAAGAAAACACATGAACCTCACGGGAGTCACTCCTCAGTTTATACCAGTGGCGAACCGTGTCTATCACAACTGGACCTTCTGTAGACACACACACCCCCGCCGCCGCCCCGCCCCCCCTCCGCGGTATTATAATGTCCGTCTTTTCACTGAATTGTCGTCTTGAAAAGGGTACTCACAACAATTCCGCAACAACTTTACCTGTTGCACTTTCCATTTCCACGTAAAAAACAATAAAACGGCATGAATTGCTTCGTCGCATTCATAGATCCTCTGCCTCGAGTCAGTTAACTAGCGGGCCTTCTAGAGCAGTGGTTCCCAAACGGTGTGCCGCGGCACACTGGTGTGCCGTGAGGCAAGTCCGGGTGTGCCGTGGGATTTTGTGACAACCATACTTTATTATTGCAATATACAACTCTATATTAGATTCTGTTGGTTTTTGTCAGAGTGTAAATAAACCAACCCACTGCTATAATCACACTCTCGACCTTGTTCTGACTTATGGTATTGAAATTGAGCAACTATTAGTCGAACCGCATAATCCTGCTTTATCCGACCGTTTCTTAGTAACTTTTGAAGTACTGTTACGAGACTACAAAGCATTAGTCAAAAGCTCCTGCAGCAGAAACCTATCTGTTAGTGCTATAGCCAAATTTAAGGAAGAGATTCCACCAATACTTAACTCGATAGCATGTCTGCATGTAAGGGAGGAAACTTATACAAAATGTACACCACCCCAAATTGATCATGTTGTTGATAGTGCTACAGATGCGCTGCGAATAAAATTAGACTCTGTTGCTCCTTTGAAAAAGAAGAAAATAAAACAACATAGATTAGCTCCATGGCATAATGCCGAAACCCGCAAAATAAAGCAAAAGTCGAGACAACTTGAAAGGATATGGCGTTCCACTAAACTTGAAGAATCTCGTTTAATTTGGCATATTACTCTCAATGAATATAAGAAAGCACTGCGTAAAGCGAGAGCAGCCTACTACTCTTCATTAATAGATGAGAATAAGAATAATGCAAGATTTCTTTTCAGCACTGTAGCCAGGCTGACAGAGAGCCACAGCTCGATTGAGCCTTCTATTCCCATAGCACTCAGTAGTAATGATTTTATGTGCTTTTTTAACGATAAAATTGTTACTCTTAGAAACAAAATTAATGACCTCTTGCCTTTGACCAGTATAGTGTTATCAACAGCTCCCGGAAACGTAAGTTCTAATATTACACTAGATAGTAAACTAGAATGCTTTTCAGCCATAAACCTTGAACAATTAAATTCAATGATTCTCTCTTCTAAACCATCAACGTGTATGTTAGACCCAATTCCAACTAAGCTGTTGAAGGAAGTTTTTCCATTAATTAGCACTTATTTATTAAATATTATGAATATGTCTTTATTATCAGGCTATGTTCCACAATCATTCAAAGTAGCAGTGATAAAACCGCTTCTTAAAAAGCACAACCTCGATCCAGAGGTTTTAGCCAATTATAGACCTATTTCCAATCTTCCGTTCCTCTCAAAAATTCTTGAGAAAGCGGTCGCAAAACAGTTGTGTGATTACTTAAAAAACAATGATTTATTTGAAGATTTTCAGTCTGGCTTTAGAACACATCATAGCACAGAGACAGCTCTGGTTAAAGTCACAAATGACATTCTAATAGCCTCTGACAAGGGACGTGTCTCTATTCTTGTTTTGCTCGATCTCAGTGCTGCATTTGATACTATCGACCATGATATCTTATTGCAAAGACTAGAGCACTTAGTTGGCATACAGGGAACTGCTTTAGACTGGTTTAGGTCCTATCTATCTGAACGCTCTCAGTTTGTACGTGTCAATGATGAATCTTCCACGCAAACCAAAGTTAGCCATGGAGTGCCACAGGGCTCAGTGCTCGGACCTATTTTGTTCACATTATATATGCTTCCGTTAGGCAATATTATAAGGAATCATTCTGTAAACTTTCATTGTTATGCGGATGATACTCAACTATATTTATCAATCAAGCCTGATGAAATTAATCATCTAAATAAAATTCAAGACTGCCTTAAGGACTTAAAAACGTGGATGACCTTAAACTTTTTGATGTTAAACACGACCAAAACTGAAGTTATTGTACTTGGCCCGAAGAGTCTACGAAACAAATTATCTAAGGATATACTAACTATGGATGGCATTAATTTGGCCTCCAGTGAGACTGTAAGGAATCTTGGTGTTATATTTGATCAGGATTTATCCTTTAACGCCCACATAAAATCAATTTCAAGGACCGCCTACTTCCATCTACGTAACATTGCAAAAATCAGGCATATCTTGCCTCAAAACGATGCAGAGAAACTAGTCCATGCATTTGTTACTTCAAGGCTGGATTATTGTAACTCTTTATTATCAGGGTGTACCAAGAAGTCAGTCAAGTCGCTTCAGCTGATTCAAAATGCTGCGGCTCGTGTACTAACCAGAGTTAGGAAAAGGGACCACATTACTCCTGTTCTGGCTGCCTTACACTGGCTCCCTATAGAACACAGGATAGAATTTAAAATTCTTCTTCTCGCCTACAAAGCCCTTAATGGGCAGGCGCCATCTTACCTTAAAGAACTCATTATACCCTACTGTCTACTAGGGCATTGCGTTCCAAGAATGCAGGGTTGTTGGTTGTTCCTAGAGTCTCTAAAAGTACAATGGGAGCCAGAGCCTTTTCTTATCAAGCTCCACATTTGTGGAATCAGCTTCCAGTTTGTGTTCGGGCGGCAGACACCCTATCCGTTTTTAAGAGTGCGCTTAAGACCTTCCTTTTTGATAAAGCTTATAGTTGGGGCTGATTAGATTCAGCCCCTAGTTTTGCTGATATAGGCTTAGTTTGTCGGGGGACATCTTACTTCTTCCTTCTCTCTGTCTATACCTGTGTACTCTCATGTTCCGATTAACCCAGCTTCCCCAAATGTCTTTCTTTTTGGTGTCTATATACGCCGGGATCCGGAGTCATGGATGATCCTGCGCTCCTCTGTCCTGGATCCCGAGCCCTGGATCTTGAGTCGTGGCTGTGGTCCTGGATCATAGGTCCTGGATGGATATCCTCGTGGATTCATTTTCCTATTATACACACATGCATTTCCAAACATTTGGACTACCTATGTTGCAAATGTATTATCTTTTCAATTTACACACGGCATCTATTGCACGTCTGTCCGTCCTGGGAGAGGGATCCCTCTTCTGTTGCTCTCCCTGAGGTTTCTCCCATTTTTCCCTTTAAACTGTGGGTTTTCTTTGGAAGTTTTTCCTTGTAGGATGTGAGGGTCTAAGGACAGAGGGTGTCATATTGTCATACTGATATTTTGTACAAACTGTAAAGTCCACTGAGACAAATGTAACATTTGTGATATTGGGCTATATAAATAAACATTGATTGATTGACAACTACACAAAAATAATTATTTTTAAATTTACTATATCAGTACTTTGTAGGTTTATATGTACGTAATCTGCGCGATTTGCGCGTCCACATCTCAACGTGCAGTGCTGCATTTCATGCTGAGTCGGCGATAACTTTCGAGGGGTGGAGGTATGCCCATTATTTTGAGTTCGTCCGAAGAATAGACAGGAATGTGACGGTGAGGTGCAAACTGTGTCCAGGCCAGAAGCTGTTATCCACTGCTGGAAACACCATGTCGAACCTCAACAAACACCTGCAAAGAACACATGCTTTTTTGTTTATATCACGGAGTCTATTCTTCTTCTCTGTCTTACGGTTGTTGCCTGTTTTGAATGACAAATACACACTACCGCCGCCTGCTGGTAAGGAAAGTTATTGCCACTCACGCATGCGCAGTTCGTACGTGCTCGGCGATTAAAGTAACGAGTTACTTTATGTAGTAAGTAGTGTAATATATTGCTTTTTAAAAAAAGAAGTAATATATAACGACCCCATCTCTGGAGTTGGCGTTCTCTACTCTGGTTTACATGAAGACCAACAGGAGGTCACGGCTCTCTGTTGAACAGGACAAGCGAGTGGCCCTCTCCTCAGTGCCACCAAGGATTAAAACATTCTGCGCGCCCCGACAGGCACATGTATCTCACTAATTTGTAAGTCAGAAAAATATTTACAATAGCACATGTTTCAATGCTGATTGCTGAAATGTTACATTTATAATTTGTAGTTCAGGACCATGGACAATGCAGCTTCCTTGCATTGATAGTTCTCTGTGCTGAATTTCTGCTGAGTTTCCTTAGCCTCATTTTTAATTTTGTGACCTGTCTGGTTTAAATGAGTGTGTTGCTGCTTTGATGAAGCCTAATTTGGTAAAGTTTCAAATTAATTTCTGAGATATTTCGTTAATAAATATTTCATGAGTAATATAGTAGTCTTTGTCACATTTTATTTGGCATTAGTAAATAATTATGCACATTTACAGATATTTTACATGATATGAGTGATAACACGTGTTATAAGGGCTATTTTGCACAATAGGTGTGCCTTGAGATTTTTACTTGTCCTTTGGTGTGCCTTGGGCACAAAAAGTTTGGGAACCACTGCTCTAGAGTACCCTGGAACCGAGGGAAACTCTGGAAGAACACGCCCATTGGCTACAAATCAATATATGATTGGTTGATCAAACTGTCAGTCCAAACGTACGCTCTCATTCAGTGCAACGGCCAGGGCATTCTATCAAGGATGTAGAATACCTTGGTGAAGGATATTCTACCCAGAGACCCAGAACAAGATCTGATTGGTTGCTTTCTTTTCTAACACAAAACCACTGAAATGTGTATTTTTTTGTTTTTTTATTTACGACGCAAGTGAGGGACGCAAGGATTCCATTTAATCGACCAGGGGTCCTTCTCACTTCGGTTAAATGGATTCCTTGCGTCCCTCACTTGCGTCGTTTCCCTGCGTCTAGTCCCTCCCACCAGGGAAGCATGGAGAGACGCAAGGAAACCACGAGAAGCAGGGAAATTAGTTTTAAGAGCAATGGGACGTCCTTTCCTCCGGAGCGTCACATGAAGCGACGTCCGTTTGTGATGACGCCGCACAGCTGTTCGTCTGACAGCAGCTCTGTTCCCGTTATTTTCACAAACACCCCCGCCTCTGTTAGTATACATTTACTGACACAAACATTTGTATCATCTGTTGTAGACCCAAATAAATAAAAATAAAATAAGAACTAATTTTCAAAAAAGATAAACGCCATTCTTAAAATGTATAAACGAACAATAGTTTGATTAATATTGATTAGAGTGCACAATAGAAATACAAATAATTGAGAGAAGAAAAAGAGATATGTTATCTATCAAAACCCAGTTAGATTAACATTCATTGGATTGCACACTTTGTTTGTTTGTGTGGATATGTAGCAAATTCACATTTTAAATAGCACTTAATGACTGACTGAATGGAAATGACAATAAATGAAAATGTAAAACGAAAAAAGCGATCATGAAAATGTTTCCAAAAAATGAATAAAATGATTTTTGACCACTTTGTTGTTCAGATATAGCCTATCACATATTTGTAACTAAATGATACATGAATTGAAACAAAATACGGTATAAACTGAGGAGTGACTCCCGTGAGGTTCATGTATTTTCTTCACTCTGCTCTCATGTCAAGAAGCATCAGATCAGTGCATGCGCTGCATCGTCCAATCAGTGGGCGATACACAGTAAGGGGCTGGGCGAGTGTCTGAGGATTTCATCGGAGGATGGTCTGATGGTTCCTCGGTTATCGCTCCTCCATTATCGCTCCTCGCTCCTCCGGCAAAAATAAGGCCATTGGGACGCTACTCAAGATGGCGCAGACAAATCAACTTCCGTTGAGACCGAGACCGAGGAGCGAGGAAATGAAAAATAAGAGAAGTGAGAAGGGGCCCTGAGATGGGCCCACAGCCGGAACAAATCTGCCACTTCCTTACAGAGCCCCTCCTCCAACACAACGCGCACATGACCAATGAGGGCACGAGATAAGCTTGTGCAAAGATGGAATGCTGACAGGCAGGTAGGCCATCCAGTTATTTTAGCCGGCCCGGCTCAGATAATTGGTCGTGCTTTTTACAGTATTACGGCTTCCACAGATGAAATTTTGTAATGGATGTTTTGTCAAAGCACTTAAGATATTGTAGCGTTCACAAGGTGAGTCGGAAACAGGCTTCTCGTTATTAGGCTTTAATAACTCTTGTTTGACAACAGATGATCACAGGTACATGTACACTTGTGGGTTCAACCTCACACTCCACTCACACTAACACTAACTTCTACACATACCCATATATATAACAGTGTCTACGTCACAACTTCCCGCCCTCCCTCGTCTGCTCCCCCAACCACAGGCCCGCACCTCAACCAGCATCACTGTGCAGCTCTATGATTGGCAGAGAGACGGGGGGAAGCCTGAGTGACACCCTCAGCATCCTATACAGGGTCGCTACAATATTCATTGCTATCGGGATGTTAAGAGCATTCCATGGAATATAACAAAAAGTGTATCTCGAGCCGGTTTCTCAAACTTACCTACCCCACCTTTAAGTGCTTTTGTTTAAGCAATTTGAGACTTAAAGGTGGGGTATGTAATTTTGGAGAAACCAGCTCGAGTGCACTAGAATTTGAAAGTACACAACCGGAAAAAATCTGCCTCTTCCTTCAGACTTCCTTACAGAACCCCTCCTCCAACACACACGAACGCGCACATGACCAATGAGGACACGAGATAAGTTTGTGCACAGATGGAAGGCTGACAGGCAGGTAGGCCATCCAGCCGGGCCGGCTAAAATGATTGGTCGTGCTTTTTACAGAGCTACGGCTTCCACATATCGAATTTTTTTATGTATTTATTGTCAAAACATTTAATATATTCATTGCTATCGGGATGTTAAGAGCATTCCATGGAATATAACAAAAAGTGTATCTGAAGTGAATTACATACTCCACCTTTAAGAGTCAGCTAAAGCAATCTCTTTATTGACAACACGTCACTCCCATAACAAACATAACCTTCACAGTTGTTTACACCTCGTCTCAGTATTTCTAACAATTTGGCTCTTGAATTAAAGTTTTTATTTGAAGTGATCAATAGTCAATAGGGTCTGATAAGTGCAAATTCATTGGTATAGTTCATTATTCTCTGCTCATTGGAAAACTGTTATTTATAAATCCACTGTTTTAAACATTTGTACATGACATTTGAGGTCAGTTAAGAAAGTACAGATCCACTCAGGTATCGACCAATGAGAAAAATATATATAAAAAGGTGCTCTTTGTAGTTATCTAACATTCAGTTTTTTTATTATTAAAACATACTTGTGTCCTAAGTGTCCTTCCACATAAATCATATGCAAAGAAACTGTTTTAGTATTTTAAGCAGTACAGTTAACATCCATGTTTGCTTTTGTTGTCACATCCAAGCTCACATCCTTGTGTTTGTGCAAAAACAGGGAACTGCTTAGAAAAAACATTCCTCTCGTCTATACTGTAGCATTACTAGTAGATAAAAACTCCAGAGTAAATTTCACTATACAAATCAAATTCATGCAATCATGGCTGTCTCGCCTATTGTAGCATTAGTATTATGAGACGAAAAGTAATTAGTAGTTTGATGCATCTCGTGTTAGTCAGAAAGAACACAGGGGGACTAGAGAGTTATATTGAGCATGCATAGGCTCGTAAATGTCACTCACTGTCGGCATATAAAACTATGGGCAGAATATATTGTTAATCAAATGGTCCCTCCCTCAGCCAAACTGCAATAAGTGGCAGGATACTGGGCTGATAAAATACTGTCAGCAGCAGCGGATCACATGAAATCAGGGGGAAATAGTTGGTAATAGCATCTTCAACAAGAAAATATATATATATGCGATATGCATTGCAGTGAATTCAGTTAGTTGAATTGTCCATTTCACACAGCGGATGGTAATCTACTATAATTTACCTCTGAGGAGAGCATGGCCAGGAATCCAATGGTCCGACACTCAACACTCTCCATCCAGATCAGGGCGTTACGATTGTACTGACCGCGAAATTTCACATCAAACACTCCAACAAAAAACAGGTACACACCCATGAGGCAGTCTGCACCTGAAAGATAAGAGACAGTGACCAACGCCAGTCTGTTTAGAGAGAGGGAAGCTCTGTTTGAGTCCAGCTTCTGACAGACCAATGATTTCTCATTAATTTTCACAACCCAGAAATACTTCCTACCCTCCAGAGCTTGAAGGAGTAATCACTTGGATGGGACACAAACATCTGTCTAAATATAGCTCGTGAAATCCGCTCCAATCACTGTTAAACATGTTCTGTCTTTTGTAATTGATTGCATTTGATTTATACAGCAAACCCGTCTTATGTGCAATTAATTGTTGGAATATGACTTCTAATGCTGGTTATTAAAAAATGTTATCTTGATACCACCTCCTGGCCTTTTTAAAGCAGAATGTATACATCATTTTCACTGTGTAATCTTCTCAAAGATATTAATATGAAACGCACATTTATCTCACTTAGGATGGTTTACTTGACCTGAAGATATTTACTTTAAGATCAATATTTAAATGTGTATTATTGTGAACGTTACAATCCAGTTGTCTTTGGCATAAGGTCTGCTACTATGGTTTTAAATATATATACACTTAACATATCCAACCCATATATTCCTCTTCTTGTAGGATGTTCTACAACACAAGATGTCTCGGAATAAAAAAGGGGAACAAAAAGTGAATCGCTGGAACAACGATGGATCCATTTCCCGGCCTTAATCTGAGGAAGCTATAAATGAGAGAAATATTCAATCTTATGATAATCACTCCTAAAGCTCTAACGGCTCATATTTTATGCTCAGTATCTTCTTCTTTTTCTGGTATAGAAAACCTCCAGAGTATTTATAAAGTTTGACAGGATCATCTTTACCCGATACTTCTTTAGAAGTATCTTTCACACCTGTGGCCTCATTTCCTCACTGATTATCAATATGTATAAAATTGCAGACAAACTTGCACATTTACTCTCCTACAAATCTCAATTAGATCCCTGCACACTTCGCTTTTAGTGTTGACCTTCAAGACTCTCGATCAGCCTTCGTTTATTTAATATTGAAGTATTTGCCCCTCAGGGTGATAAAAAGATTTACTGCAATTATATTTTTCACTTTGCTGAAAAAAAAGGTATACGAACATTGATTCCCCGGTTGGATGATCATTTTTATGATTAAGATCAGCTTTTTTAGCAGTGGTATTTATTTAATTTTACTAGTATTTGTCTATGTGTGTATTTTGCACTGTCGTCGTGTTGTAACCACAGGGTATTCTTTCATTTGGGGCGCATATACGTGACAGGAGAGCGGTGTGGTTACTCACAGCAGAGGACTTTGATGCAGGCAGCGTGCAGGTTGTTCTCCGCTCGTATCAGTGACCTCATGCAGATGACAAAGAGGTTTCCGAAGCAGGTGATGAAGGCCATCACCCAGACAGACACCCGCAGCACTACGTTAGCCAGCAGGTCCTCAAAGGACGAGATGCCGTCCGTGTTGGGCTTACAGGACCTGACATGAGGTGCATAGGAGCAGTACTGGAATGTCTTGAAGTAGCTGACAGAGAAAAGGAGTATATAAAAAAAGAAAGTGGAAGCAGAAGAAACGGGGGAGAAAGACAGAGAGCTAGACAAACAATGACACAGAGGAGACAAAATGACATCATGTTGTGTCAATTAACATAATTGATCCTATAGCACAGTCTGTAGTTCTTACATGTGGGAGAGGTTCTTCATAGGCAGAAACATCTTCGTCTGAATTCCTGGGATCTCCATCCCCTCCAGAGCCCTAGAGAAAACACAGCATTTTGCACCACCGAACAGGATGCAGCAAGAAGTTGTGTGTGTGGGAGTCAGTGTGTGTGTCTGTGTTGTGTGTGTTTTCTCACAGGGATTGAAGATGTGTCAGGTGGTTGAAGTGGCTGGGATGAATGTGGAGAAGGGGATTGTGGGAGATGTTTCTGTAACAAGAAACAGAGTATGACAGCTTTAATAAATCCTGGCTGAAAGTTTATGTGGCTGTATAATAGTAAAATCCAGATGTTCTACGTCTTTTATGACAGGAAAACCTGCTGTATTCAGACCTACGAAAACCCCAAGGAAGGGGTTGTCTCAGTGGTTTGCTTGATAAAGATTACGGGTTGTTTTTCAGTTTCAGATGAAGGAAAAGGACCATTTAGACTGTTTTACAAATAGGTCTGAGTCCATTGCAAGACAAAAATAACAAGTTATTGTTGTTAGGAGTGTAACCTTGATGACATTATCAAGCCTGCAGATCAAATGGATGTTAAGTTATTCTCACAGAATATGAAAAAAACCTGTGCCATCAACCCATCGGTATGTACATTTTAACTGAATTGTGAAAGCTTTACAACACATACTTCAAAAGAAAAACGTAATCAATGTCATTCAAAAATATCTGGTTATCTTATACCGTGCATATCCCGTATATTAAATAAAATCTTGGCCTCCAGCATTGAAAAACCTGGAAGTGCAGACTGTCCTTAATATCTGTATTTCAGTTCTTCCAGTTCAGATTGGAACTTGGAAAATATTGTTACACAAGAATCTTACGGAGAGTGGGATTGCTTCTGTTGGTGGACAACCTTTGTTTTGCTGTGTGTGTGTGTGTGTGTGTGTGTGTGTGTGTGTGTGTGTGTGTGTGTGTGTGTGTCTGTCTGTCTGTCTGTCTGTCTGTCATCATTATCTGCTGGAACATAATATTCCGGGGGGAATTGTACGGCCTGTCCTCCTTGTGGGATTATTTCACAGTACTGGGAAGTTGTAAAACTGAGTTGTACCATTTCATTATTTTTGAAAGAGTAGAACCCACGCCACATTGAAAAAATGTGCTAAATGGAAGTCATGCAATAAAAAGTTCTTTGATGAGCTTGCCAGAATTATATTTTAATTTACACCTGGGAATTTTTTAAGTAGACTGAAACAGACAGCGGCATAGTTTATAACTTTAGGCATCATTACTCTTTAGCCCCTATATGTGCTGAACAGACCAAGCTGAAAACACACAATGACTGAAACTCATTTTCCTGAAAGCCGTTTTTCCCCCTTCAGATTCAATTTACTTCACAATAGCATTATTCATGAGCAGCACTCTGACCGGCAGTAACTTACAAAAAATAAATTTAGCAAAATGTTAAAGCAGTAAAAGCAGAAGTATGAGTGACACAGAAATTAATGTATGAGGAACAGACGCCATGTTCCAAGACAGCTTCCATTTATTCCAGTCAGACCACAAGGTTAACATATCCCATTATAAGTGAAAGTCCTGCTGGGAAAAGGTTATTTAAAGTATGTAAATAACGTGTGTAAATGTACTCTAACATGTATTTAATGCAGAAAAATGCCCATGCGAGTGTTGATCCCTTAAATAGTATTACATTTGCAGTGTTGTGCTAGTTACTGAAAACCAGTAACTAGTTACCATTACTAGTTACTTCATTTCTTTGTTATTTGCACAACAAGTAATGCGCTACTGTGAAAAGTAACGTTTTAGTTACTTCTAAAAAGGACTCCCATTAATGCCCTTATAGCCTTCATTTCAGTACTGTTATTGTATTGGAGAATAATACAATATGTTGATCAACTTGACATGCATTATATGCAATCTGGATTGCATCGATATTAGCTGGCTTTCCATTTTTGTATATTCTTTCTCCAGGTAGTTGGAAAAAGTGTTCCGTCCCATATGCCGTGTGCCGCCCGGACATGGTATCATGCTAACTAGCTCCCTGAAAGCGGGTGACTCCACTGTAGCAATAGCCTGCATGTGTTCTACAACATACCGTGCAATGGCTTTATCGACTTTTCCCTGGCCAGCAGTCCCTTGGTTAAAATCCAGCCGCTGTTGCTTAGGTGGAGGTGGAGTGGCGTTGGCTGAGTCTCTGTGGTCGTAGCTACTAGCTTCGTCCCAGCATGTTGTTTTTGCAGATGTTTTAAGAGATTTGAATTACTGGTTTGGGCAGTAGATAGGATCTTTGACCCGCCAAGACACAACTTACATTTAACTAAAACGTTCTTTTCTTTGTGCTCGACAAAAGTGAAATAGTGAGAATATCTCCAGGTGGAGAAACTAGACCTGAGCTCCGCCGCCGCCATGATAGTCTTGTTAGTAAACAACACAAACACGCCCACAGCCCGTCTCCGCATATGACACAGGAAGTATCTAAGTACATTTACTCAAGTACTGTACTTAAGTACAGTTCTCATCTCTGTTCGCCTGGCTGTTGACTATATAAAAAAAACTAACGGAGTAACGCACCATGTAGTAACGGTAACTGAGTTACTGAATTTAAAAAGTACTGCGTTAGAGTACTAGTTACTGCCAAAAAATAACGGCGTTACAATAACGCGTTACTTTGTAACGTGTTAGTCTCAACACTGTACATTTGTAATAATGATGCAGTAATATGTACTCTAAGCAGCATTTTACTATTTTAAATACTCCAAACACTGTTGGCGAGTTTAAATAATAAAAACGCACCATGAGCTGATTTAGAATGTAAAGCCTTGTTCCCAAGATGACAATTAACAACTGTGAGATAAATGCAGTAAAAATAATGATTGGACGAGAAGTATAATTATTCTCCATGGCTTTAAAACTTTTCGTTTAGTTTAGTTTTTACAACAATTTATAATTTTATTCTCCATAAAACTGTCTTTAATTCTCTGGGTTTATTTCCCACGGGAGGCATTAATAGTCCGATAAAATCATGTCTTCTAAATGTAGTCTTAAAGCATTAGGTCCCCAAAGTGATTTTTTTACATGTAATACTTAATATCATAACTCCCTCATGTCCTCCTCACGTTACACACTTTTCCTGGCAGTCAGACTATCAGTTACTCACAGTTTCAGGAGGGACTTGGAGAGGCTCTTAAATGTGTTTTTCGGCAACTCCCTGATCTTGTTGCTGGATAGATTTCTAAACACAGAGGAGAGGCAGTCATTACAAAAAAGGGAAATAAATTGTTATGGACAAAAGCAAAATGATTCACAAACATTTGTTTCTTGTTTAAACTCAGATAGTGTAATGCGTAGACCAGGGGTCCGCAACCTTTTTGATATGAAGTGCCATTTAAAAAAAAAATTGTTATCAGCGTGCCAACGATCGAGAATTATCAACGGGGGGGGGGGGGGGTGGGTTGAGGATCTTGACGCTCGTCAACTATCAGCAGGAGGGCGGGGGAGCCTCGCTGCGGGGAAGCAGTGTGTGGACCTGTCAGCGCAACTTACATGATGCCGAATTTAACAAACACATTTAAATAATTGGTTTAAACGGCATAATAATAAGGACGATCGTCCGTTCTGTGATTCTCCAGAACACACATGTTATGATATTAGGCAATTAGGGTCATGCAGAGTGAGATGAGATCGCTGTCCCTTTTAAGAGAGAGAGAGAGAGAGGGTGTGGCTTGTGCATACGTGTTTGTGAATGGTAGAGCGACAGTGAGGGAACGTGTCGTGTGTATGTTTCTGGAAGTGAAACGAGGCAGCAGAAAAACAGAGGTCTGTGATGTATTTTGTGAAACAGAAGAACAGCTAAATAAATGCAACGGCCTCCCAAGAAGAGCTCGCCTCTCTCCAGTCATTTAAGCTAAAGTGGGTTATTGAACCTGAAGCTTGTTGCTTCTGCCCTCCTCGACTATGGTCTGGGAACCGACAGGAAAGTTCAACACACAGATGGCCAGTCCGCCCCTTTGTAGCATTATTTCGATGAGAGATGAGCAGATCGCCACTGGGCTTTCAACTAAATACACAGCCACGCAAAAACTGCGGTATTTGTACAGCTCCTTATGGGTAGGCTACTGCAATTAGTGAAGTGCTTTCCTCTGTGGTGAAACGATCAGCACCACGGAGGAAAGCGGCAGAAAGTCACCTGGAGTTAAAGAGAGCGGGGCTGCGTGGCGTGCATGGCTTCCTTCTGCGGGTAACGGAGAGACGCGCTCTGGCGGCGGCCTCGTTCAGGATCCGAAAATACAATTTAAATATTTGTGCACACTTATTCCACTTATTCCTAGTGTGCTACTGGTTGCCGACCCCTGGCGTAGACCAAGGCACAGACGTTTAAGGGATGAACTATTGTTCTTTTTATACTCAACTGTCTTTCCTGATTTATAATTTTTTTTATATAATAGTAAACAGCAAATGATCATATTAATGAAAATTGCAAATCATTTGAGCTTTTCTTTCCAAACAGGGATTAATCTAAGCACCACATTCATCCATTTATCTAATGTCATTATTTTTGTTAAAATAAACTAATCTCAGCAGAACAAAACTGATGGTTTTCTAACACTGCTTCATTAAATCTCCATTATCTTCATTATTAGGCAACACGTACCCAGTTTTTTTTAAACGCGCTAATCACTTACAGGCTGAAAATCCTACCTTAATATTCACTCTGGAGTGGGTTTAAACCAATTATGAATGTATTTATTCAACAGGCTGCTTTCTTATAATTCATCCAAGTATCAAAACAATCAAACAGTTGTTTCAAGCTGCTATTTAATGTAATACAACTATGAGATATTATTATCTAATCAACCAATCCAGACATTCACATCTGATATTGCAATAATGAGTTGTTGTTTGATAATTCAATGTCAAACAAGACTTTTATGAAATGTTTGGAGCTGATAAACCTCTGCTGATGGGATTAGAAAAGATTAACATTTTAGTCAGGCTAAATAAATAAATAAAATAAAATAGAATAAAATATTCTCAATCAGCAACAAGAAACTCGACCAAAGCATTACATATTCACGAATAGGCATTACATTGAGAAGGGTGCTGTAGGAGCCAATTAACTGTGGGTATAAAGGTAGGAACCTATGTGTGTTGGTGAGAGGTTCCTCCGGAAGGCCCATACAGTTTTTGACCACACACGGAGAACACACACACACACGGAGAACACACACACACGGAGCACACACACACACACGGAGCACACACACAAACACGGGATTAAAAACAAAGCAAAAGGTATTGTGTAAAGCATAAATATCGTGTGGTGAATGAAACAAAGAAACCAGTAAAAAGGGAAATAAATGGACAATTTCAAACTGGAAACTTTGTTTCTGACTTTTATTCGGCAGCAAACAGGGTGTGCCTCAATTACACCCAGCAAGCGGATCCTCAGAGGCTTAAAGCGTTGGCTTAGCCTCTACAGGTGCTATATAAATAAAGTTGTACTTACTTACTTACATTCTACCGAAACAAAGTCATTTATTAGACTAACCACAATTTATTCATGATTATCGGATGTAATTTGTTATTAACTCAATTCATTGTATGATTATAATGAGACTGCTGCTTTACTCACAGGTCAGCCAGTTTCCACAAAGACTGGAAAGTGTTTTCAGGAATTCTTCGGATCCTGTTGTCCATCATAATTCTGGAAAGGACAGAGCACATGTAAGAACATTTGTGCAAAGCGGTGATTCAATCCCTCTGGCGAATCACTGTTGGGAATGAAGGTTAACCTCAATCATTGCAGAATCAGAGTTTCTGACTAGCCGTTCAGAGCAACTCTCCACGAATACTGAATCAATTATCTTCGTCTTGAACAGCTCTGCCTGAAAAGGCAAAGATAAGAGACAAACCAAAGCTTTAACTTCTTAGACTGTGTGACAAGTGTGATGGAAACTTCTGAAGCAATGGGGTTAGGACTCGAGACACGGGGAGAGCAGGAACTTTGATGGCAAACACTGATGGTTTATAAAAAAAGAATGGAAAGACATCACATGCATTTATACGAAAAACAAAATTTGATTGCTGTAATTCCCATCTTTCTGAGAAAATGTCCTCAGTGTGCAGCCAGTCCACCAAACAATCAAACTTTCTCTGTTACGTTAGAAAATTGCATTCTCTTCAATCCTAAAGGCAATTCAATTTTTCAGTTTGAAGACCAGAATATAAATTGTGCTTGTTGAAATAGTTTTCATAACTCTGTTCTCATAACTCAAAGTTTCTACTCTTCTACTAATATATTAATGAATAGTTTTTACATTAATTATTGATAGGTTTCAAATCAAATCAAGTTTTATTTATATAGCACATTTATAAACGATTTTTGGTCGAGCCAAAGTGCTGTACATATAATAAAAATAGCCTACAGTAGAGACACTTTACAGCAAATACAACAGCACAGATTGTTCAGAATATCAGTATGAGAAAAACGACACCCTCTATCCTTAGACCCTCACATCGTACAAGGAAAAACCTCCTGAGAAAACCCACAGTTTAAGGGGAAAAATGGGAGAAACCTCAGGGAGAGCAACAGAGGAGGTTTAATTTAGTTACGTGCATTCCATTTATTTGCCAGGGACCATTCTGTATAAAACTAAATGCATCTAACATAAGAGATAATTATACCAGATTTGGCTGCTGTAATTTCCATGACCTAAGAAAACGTTAATGCAACTAATTCAATAACTCTTGACAACTGAATTTAAGAATGACTAAAAGCACATATAAATATCAAAACATACTCCCTAAACTATAAAATATTTTTGTAATAATCCCTACCCGTGTGTCTTTTAAAATACACACACATGCGTGCATTGTGCTTATTGTTTCTGAGCTACATTGATGTAGACGAGGCTTGTTTCTCACAGTCAGTTTGTTGACATCCTAGAAAACATATTGAAGTCTTTACATGCTTAACTTTGAGAGAGCCTTGTCAGGATTCTCATGTTTTGTCACGATTGTAGTTTTGTATGTCTGGTTATGGGTATTTTCCTCCTTGTATATTGTCTGGTCCTTCTTCCTGTGTTTTCCCCTGTCGTTAGTTTCCCTGGTGTGTCTAGTTGTCTGATTGTGTTCACCTGTGGCCCTTGTGTTTCTCCTCCCCTGCCCGGCTGTTTCTCGTCTTGTGATTACCCCTCCCTGTATTTAGTCTGTTCTCTTCCTGTGTTCAGTGTTGGTTCGTCTTGTGTCACGACTGGTTCGTCGGTGAGTGTTCTGTTTTGTCTTTGTTTATATCCCTAGCCTTGAAATAAAGGAGTTTTTTCAGTTTATATCTGCATTTGGATCCTGCTTCCAACATACACCGTAACAAGCCTGTTCCATTCCTTAACTCACAAAAGGTTTGCTGTTCTCCTTTGGGTTGTGTGTGTGTGTGTGTGTGTGTGTGTGTGTGTGTGGCTGGCTGGCTGGCTGGCTGGCTGGCTGGCTGGCTGGCTGGCTGGCTGGCTGGCTGGCTGGCTGGCTGGCTGGCTGGCTAAAATTCAACATCTCTTTGCCAATGTACACATCCCTCTCAAGGCACTGAGAGAAATGACAAACAAAACTGTCCAGCTGGTCAGAAAGTGGGTGGGCCTCAACACACACTCCACACGGGGCATCATCTTTCTCCCATGTGGAGAGGGGGGGCTGGGAGTCCCCAATGTCGAGTGGACCTACATAGCCACCAGGCTAGCCCACCTGATCCACATGCTTAACAATGATGATGTCACCGTAAGAGAAATGGCCAGGGCCTCTCTCCTGCTGGATCTACACAGAAGGAAGATCCCCCTGGCCAGCGCAGACCAGAACAACTTCCTCGGCTTCAGGAGGAAAGACTCTGGGAAACTGGACTCTCAGGCCAGGGGCTTCGGGGTCTGGTCTGACTGGCCAGATCTCAATGACCTCTGCAATCGGACTGGAGTCCAGCTGAAATGGACAAGACTCAACACACAGACTGAAGTCCCTGTCTCTGATGAACTGATCACAGACCCCAGTGTGGTTGTGAAGGCCGACATCACAACACCTCAGGAAGAGACTGTGGAACTGCACAGAGACTCTGCAAGGAGGGTTCTGCTCAGCATGAAGCAGTCTGAGATCAGGCAGCACTGGTGTGGACTCAGACTACAGGGAAAGCTAGCCTGTTTGGGGTTTGCTGACCACTCAGTCTCACACTCAGTGTTTAAGAACGCCGCTGTTGGTGAGGATGTTCTGACATTTACCATCAAAGCAAGACTGCAGGTATTACCCACTAAGTACAATCTGTCCACCTGGTACCCTCGCATTCACACTCCATTCTGTTTAAACCATCAGGATTCACAACAACACCTAGAATCCATTGCACACATAACAAATGGATGTAATGCATACAAACGCCTGTACATAGCCCGTCATGACCGTATTGTGGACATTGTGTCTGATGCGGTACGAAACATCTTACCATCTAGTGCAGCAATGTACAAGCACGCTAGAGTGCTACCAGAATGGTTTGGTTTTACCAATGATGTCTTTGCTAACATCCCAAATACACCTGATGTTGTTTTTGTTGACACCAACCACAGGGAGGTGCTAATATTAGAAGTAGGCTGTGCCTTTGACCTGTACATGGACCAGGCTTTCCAGGACAAGTATATCAAATACCAACCACTGCTCGATGTGATAACCAGCTTTGGGTACAAGTGTAGATACAGCATACTTATATTCGGAAGTCTTGGCCATGTATATAAATGCACCATGATTGGTCTGAGAATTGCTGGAATGTCAAAGAGAAAAGCCAAACAAATTGCCAAATATTGCTCTGTTTCAGCTATTATTGGCAGCTTAGCCGTGTGGAGAAGGAGGTGCTATGTGTTCCCCTAAGTGTTCTGTGCTGCTTAGCCCCGATATATTTGACTCCCTGTCTTATGTAATATAATTTGTGGAACCAAATAAAGTATTCAAATGTGTGTGTGTGGAATTATAAGATATATAAAATATCAGCAACATTAAAACCAGATGATGTTTATGCACTCCTCAGTCTTTAGGACTATGCTGAGCTTCTAAGGGTTAGTAAAACACCTAACGGGTCATTTACCTAGACTGATGATACTCTTAAAGATGCAATGGTTTTTAATATTGAAGCAGGGGTCTGCCATATCAAACTTTTGAACAAATAACCTGAATGTGATTTTAAAAAAAAAAGTTGCTTCCAAATGTGTCTTTTGGATAAATTAACTAAAATGACTGCAAACAGAGAAGAAAAAAACGTGTTGTATTGAATATAGCTAAAGGGGAAATAAATAAATAAAAAAAACAGAATAATGTTTACTTCTGGAGGATTTGTTTTATATAGACAATATGACATCATTGCTGTAATGTCTGATGTGGCGACAATAATGACTCCAAGAAGGGATTGTTCAAGCCGTTATAAACTAGGATATACTCACAGGACTTCAAGCTTGCTGCAGGACTTCAAGATTGAGTGGTTGAGAGTTTGAATCTGGTTTCCTTCAAGATCCCTGTGAGCAGAACAAAAAGGGAGGGGGGGACATGTTGTTTAAACTTTACAAAACACATATCGTGTTCACATGTGAAAACATTTCTAAATGAGCACAAGAATAGTAATAAAATATAACATTTGTCTGGTGTTTTGGGGTTGGAAAAATATAACATAACCTTGTATTGTTGCAAATATTAGATATGTTTTACTACTTGCACTTTGTTGTTTATAGTGTATTTGTTGTTGTACTGTGCACCAGAATTGCCCTCTGGTGACAATAAAGCTTTATTGAATTGAAAAGGGAAAACAATAAGGAGACAGGTTGGTATTTAAAGAGGGGAATTGGAATGAATGCTGATTGACTTATAACATTTACAGATGTGGACGAGGTCATTCTTAATGTCAGACTGATCCTTCATCTCACTTGCTGACAAACATTGTTAAATCTCATCTCATCCACTTATTGTCAGCAATTTGTCAGCCCCCTGTCACCTTTGTCTACCATTCACTTGTTTATGTAATCACAAAAGCACAAGCACACACACAAACTGATAAAGTATTTAAAGAGCAGATGTGTACTGAGTCACACACATGCACTACACACCTGCTCACACACAAGCACACTGTCAGAGCAGACTCACAGCCAGTCCAAGGCAGGCATGTGTTGACAGAAGCTGGGGTGTGGGAGCTGCTGCAGCGCGGTGCCCACCATGGATCTGAAAAAAGAAGGAAAACATATTTATTTTTCAAAACAGACAATTGGACACCCTCAGCGGGGGATTCCCATCGTTACGGAGCGGAGGTGATGCACTGTTGCTTTGTATAACTGGAAACAAAACATGTGTTACGTCTTTTGCTCTAATTTTTAATAACATTACATTTCATGGCAAAGTCACCATGTGTTCCTGCTGACTTCAGAGTTGGCAGCCAACTGACAAACGTGCATCATGAGTCCATATTTAACTTTGTCAAGGACGTTCTGTTTACGATTTGTTGGTTGGTCTTTGTGTCTTTGATGTAGTGTTCTCAGGATAAAATGATTTATGCTCACAAATAATGTATCAAACAACAGTGGATTAAATACATAATAAATGGTTCACTGTAATTGATAACCCTCTTCCTGGGAATGTTTGAAGTAATTTTTTACATTTCTGCAAGTATACTGAAATGAATATAAATGTCTAATCATTGGAAGGTAATAAATCAGAACAAAAGCCTTGGATTTAAAAAATAGTCGGCTCTTAATGCAAGAACACGATTAGTAGTTTAAAGGTAACATCAAACCCTTCTCAGGAGCCTTTAATCAAATGGAGTTAAATCTCCCAGCACTGTGAGGGTTAAAGTAAAGTCAGTTTTCAAAGAAGAAACTTTGATATTTCGTGGGGTAAAACTTCCGACAGATGAGAGACTGAGTAGAGACCCGCGACTGCAGTTCATCCCACAGATGGATGAAGAAACACAAATACAGACATATGGTCACTTCTCTGAGAGTTACTCCCGGGAGGTAAAAAGCGATCTTTGAAGGAGTCAGGCAGAGTGAGTGTGTAATAGATTGTTTTTGTAACATTGACAGTATTTTAACTGTTTCCTTTGACCTTTGTTAATGTAGTTTAATTGTAGGATGTTTGGAAAGGATGAGAAGTTCTATTTCGTATATGGCTTCGCCCTCTAAGGCTATCGCTATTGGGTAATCCCCCTGCGCCCCCGCGCAGCACTGAAACACTTTTAGTCCACGCCCACCCGCAAGGTGGGCCCCACCCTCGGGCCTCCTTCCGGTATAAATAGGAAGGGGGCCCGGCAATCTGCTCCCTCTTTTCTTCAGCAACCAGCACAGTACTGAAGCACAGGAAATTTGAGTCATGAGCAACAACTGTGTCCGTGATTGTCCCTCATGTAAGACGGGGTATATCATGAGCTATGGTTTACACGCGATATGCGAATCCTGCCTGGGGCCAGAGCACGCGGACGCGGCTCTCAGCCAGCAGGTCGCGTGTTCGCATTGTGCCCGTCTCCCGTCAGCCGACAGGAAGCGAAGAGCGGACGCTCTAGCTGCTGCGGCTGAGGAGGACGATTGGCCCGTCCACAGGGACGACCTGTCTCTGGGGCCGAGTGCTGGGCAGGAGTCGGACGACTCCTACCCCGTCTCCCTCCATGGCTCGCCATGCGGCTCTCCCCTCCCCCGGACCGGGGAGACGGTGTCGGAGCGAGGTACGGGTTGGCGGCCGAGCACGCGGTCCCCTTCTCCGTTGCCACGGCGCTGCCACCTGGCCCCCTTCCTCTTCATCATGGTCTTGGATTATGCGCTCAGGAAGGCCATCAGTGGACGAGAGCAGGATCTTGGCTTAACTCTAACACCAAGGAGGTCGAGACGACACCCCACAGTAGTCCTGACAGACCTGGACTATGGGGACGACATCAGCCTACTCTTCGACAGCGTGGAGCAAGCACAGGAACTCCTGAACAGAGTGGAGTCAGAGTGTGCCAAGGTTGGCCTTAGGCTAAACGCCAAGAAAACTGAGGTTATCACCTATAACATCTTACCAGAACATCCACCTCTGACAACAACAGAAGGCACTGTGCTGAAAGAAGTCAAGGACTTCAAGTACCTGGGCTCATGGGTCAACTCAACCGAGCAAGATCTTAAGGTGAGGAAGGCACTTGCATATTGGGCCCTGAACGGCATGACCAGTGTATGGAACTCCAACCTCCCCCGTCAAATCAAACTCAGCTTCTTCTATGCAACGGTAGAATCTGTTCTCCTCAATGGCAGTGAATGCTGGACCCTGAAGCCAACCCTGCAAAAGTCTCTTGACGGATGCTACACCAGAATGTTGCGAGCAGTACTTAACATCAGCAAGAGTGTACATGTAACCAACAAGATCCTGTACGAGGGAATACCAAGGGTGAGCGAGAAAATTGCAGCCAGGATAATGAGACTAGCAGGACATTGCCAAAGGCATCAAGAGCTGCCAGCCGGCAAATTGGTGCTGTGGGAACCAACACACGGGCATCGGTCACGAGGACGTCCCGCACAAACATACGTGGACGTACTCAAGAATGACGTAGGAGCAAAAAGTACCAATGAACTGGCCAGATGTATGGAGAACCGGGATGACTGGAAGCAACGATGGAGGGCTCGTCTGAGGACGACCTAGAGAGACCTACCCCACCTTTAAAGGAGGCATTTATTGAAATGGATACCTGTTAAGGGAAGACAAGAAAAATAGAGAGAGATTAAGTTAAAGGGGACCTATCATGTAAAATGCACTCTTGTACGTCTTTTATACACGACTATGTGTCCCCGGTGTGTCAGGGAACTCACCAAGTGTCAGAAAATACTCTCTCTTTTCCTCTAAAAAAATAAAAGGATCTGTAACGGATCTGATTCAGACTGATCCAGATTTGAATTATTTTCTACGTCACAAAAGGGGTGCTCCGCTTAGTGGTAAATTCTCCACCTATCAGGGGAATGAGAGGTTGGGCCACGGCCGGCCATTGCCGCTCGAACACGCTGGAGACGCTGTAGTACATATGCCAGGCCTGTAAGTGGCAATGTAGTCTGCCACCAAAGTAGGGAAGAAGACTTCCCTTGCATGTTTGCCATGGGTGCCCTTCTGTTTATTCTCCGCTGTGGCTCTTTTTCTCCCTCTCTGAGGCAAGCGTTTGCGCCTCCTGCTTTAAAACAAATGAATAATGACTCTATATAATCATATGTAATAAGGGATAATGTGCAGCGACGCGGTCATTATGGGGAAAAGAACACCAATAGGCTGATCAGGAGCCCGACGCGAAGCGGAGGGATCTAGATCGGCATGAAGGCACATTATGCAATGTGCACATTATCCCGCTTATTACATGGCCACATTCTCAACAAAGTAACGATATGACTCCCAATATTAATTGAAATGCTTTTATGGATTTAGAAAATGATTTTATTGATTTAAAAAATAATTGTATTGATTTAAATTGACATGCATCCGCTAAGAAAAATAGTCCGTTGTTACCGTTTGAACTAACGTAGCAACGGCAGGAACTGCTTCGAAAGCGTTTTTGAGGAGCTTTTTGATTACAGATTTGAAAACATCGTTCCTTGCTTTAAAAGTAGCACAATTCATGATGTCAAACCTTAGAAAGTATCTAGATATCCCTGCCCTAATGTCAAAGTAACTGGCAACTGAATATGTGTCGCTGTTTGATGTCTGTCTGGACCGCTGCGTAAAAAGGAGGGTTTCTGACCCGTTACTTCTCTTCTTACTTCTATAAGAATAAAACACGGAGGACGGAGATCTCTTTTTCTCCCCCTCTTCTGACAGCCCAGCAGCTGATCTCAGAGCACGCTCCCCTCTCCTGCAGGGGGCGTGGTCAGCTGCACAGAATCAGACCCCTGCAAAAACAGCTCTGGAAAGAGCAAATAGAGGGAAATGAGGCATGGCTAAAATGCAGGATCTGTTTGGTATTTTGAAAAAAAAACTATATTTATATACTTTATACTTTATATAGCATGATATGTCCCCTTTAAGTGGAGGGATGAAGCAGAGACGCAGAGGACAGCTTTAAGGCTTTCTCACCGGGAACAAAGACCAGGAGAACAATACTGCAATCTTCTCATTCTATAAAGACAAAGTGCCAGGGCGGTTTTAAGGTCAGTGAAGTAGGAGGGAAGAATAACAAGTGAAGTCAGAGAGAAAAGAGTGAGGTGACATGTCAGGATGGAAACAAGCCCTTTTGTTAAAAAAAACAAGGTGTGTATTTTTTGAGAAAAAGCATATGGCCCATGAAATGGCAAACAATCGTACCGTAAGACCTCATTACTTGACTGCTGTTATAACACAAAGACATGACTGATTATGAAATTAAGTGTGAAATGTAATCACAGAGTACAACTAAACAGACATTTAACATGCATAAAGCTCTTGTCCTGCATACTCACATGTTTAAATAAGATAAACACAAAGAGTTTGTCAAATGAAGGTGGTTTACATTTAAAAATGCCCATGATATTAATATTCAATTTGGTAAGTTGAGATACAGTATGTTATTATAACCATTAGACATCAAAATGTTTATTTTCCCATGTGGAGTTTCTTCAGGTTAGCAATTATTGTCAAAGGGTATGATGCTTTCCTTCAAACTATATCCATATTATAGTACATATGCAAGACAACTGCCGGAGTTATTTTGAGAATTGAAATCAGCCAACAATACAACAGATATTTAAGTAAAAACATTGCAACTCACAGGTATGTGAGGGACTGGAGCCCGGTGAAAGTGTCCTGGGACAGGATGCTCAGTGGGTTATGATCCAAAATCCTGACACAGAGAATTGTAAAGATAGTTAAACATTTTGGATAAGATTTGCTTTCTCACCCAGAAGATCAACACCACTTTCCCGTCAATACGTGAAAACTACTGTACAGCCAGTAAATAACTTTTGCGTACTGACGAGAAGTGGTGTTGATCTTCTGGTTAAATAAAGCAAATCTTATCTAGCCTAGCTTAGCATAAATAGAGGAGGGGTAAAGAGCAAGCCTGGTTCTGTGTATTGGTAAAAAGGACTAACAAATAAAAATGTGATTTATGAACATGTTGTACCTTGTAGGTTGAATATTGGCTGTAGCTTAATATTCTAGCATATAGACATGATGAGAGTGGTTTTAATAAAACAATCATAAGAAGATTATTAAAGAGACCTTAGAACAAGAAACGGTCACAAAAACAAAACAGCAAAACAGAAACAACACAATTCAAAATGTCTATAACAAATGCCTTTTAGTTTTTAAGTTGTCTGTACTGAAATAAACATGATGTGAAGTAGAGCCTTATCTAACCCCAGCACCCTGCAAACAAACTACTATCTAAACTAAATCTTATTCAGTTTGGTTGGATGCCATTGAGAAAACATGAAATAACAAATAATAAAGTCTGAGAGTTGGGTCCTTAACATTGAAACCTGGTTTAGTAGACTTATAACACGACAGGCCAAAAAGAAAGTGCACCGTTTAAAAAGCTCTGGAGCAAAAATAATATAACGCACCCATAAAGCTCTTTGCCTCATTAGCTTTACAGACATTCATTTCTGTGTAGTGGTACTCAAATTGGATTTCATGGGGGAAATAAGGCATAATCTCCACAGCTGCACAACGTTTATGACTCCTTATAGGGAAGTGCTCTTGTATTTTCACACAGTGTCCTGCCATCTGCATTAATATGAAACCTCAGCAGAGTACACGACACAATGACCTTCTCGTGAGTAGGTTAATGTGTGTGAGTGTGAGTGTGAGTGTGAGTGTGTGTGTGTGTGTGTGTGTGTGTGTGTGTGTGTGTGTGTGTGTGTGTGTGTGTGTGTGTGTGTGTGTGTGTGTTACTCACAGCCACTGTAATTGATGGAGATCACTGAACACACCGGGACTCAGGGAGGATATCAAGTTTTCACTGATAAACCTTGGGTAAAAAAACAGAGACAGAGGGATGATGTTCTATTTTTGTTTATCTTATTCTCAGGGATATAACCTTTCAAGCTAAATTAATTTCATAATATAAAAGTCTTGACAATCTCTAGTTTCAGCTCTACAATGATTTGCTGATTTTCTTTGTCATATATCGTAGCAAACTGAATATCTGGGTTTTAGACCCAATGTATGTATGTTTCTTGTTTGTTTCTTTGCCATGTGATTATGTGATCTCTGTTCTGTATCTATGACTGATTGACCTGAATGTTTTATGTGTATTATCTCGATGCCCAAGACACATTTCTCCTAAGGGAGACAATAAAGCTCTATCTTATCTTATCTTATCTTAGACTTGCTGCAATTGCCATTTTTCCCATACTTTTTTTCCATTTCATTAATAATTTATCTTTTAATTACATTACATTACATTACATTGCATTTAGCTGACGCTTTTATCCAAAGCGACTTACAATAAGTGCGTTCGACCAACAAAATACAAACTTGAAGAAAACCGAATCATATAAGTACATCAGGTTTCATAGAGCAAAAACATTTCAAGTGCTACTCAACTGGCTTTAGGTAAGCCAGTCCTTTATTAGTATATAAGTGCTTTGTTAATAGTTCTATCGCTCGAAGTGGAGTCGAAAGAGATGAGTTTTCAGTCTGCGCCGGAAGGTGTGTAAGCTTTCTGCTGTCCTGATTTCAATGGGGAGCTCATTCCACCATTTTGGAGCCAGGATAGCAAACCCACGTGTTTTTGCTGATGGGAACTTGGGTCCCCTTCGCAGCGAGGGTGCAGCGAGCCGTTTGGTTGATGCAGAGCGGAGTGCACGCGCTGGGGTGTACAGTTTAACCATGTCCTGGATGTAGGAAGGGCCAGATCCATTCGCAGCATGGTACGCAAGTACCATTGTCTTGAAGTGGATTCTAGCAGTTACCGGAAGCCAGTGGAGGGAGCGGAGGAGCGGAGTGGTGTGGGAGAATTTAGGAAGGTTGAAGACCAGACGAGCCACTGCATTCTGGATGAGCTGCAGAGGTCGGATGGCACATGCAGGTAGACCAGCCAGGAGGGAGTTGCAGTAGTCTAGGCGTGAGATGACGAGAGCCTGGACCAGAACCTGCGTCGCTTTCTGGGTCAGCTGGGGACGCATCTTCCTGATGTTGTAAAGCATGTATCTGCAGCAGCGGGTTGTAGCAGCTATGTTTGCAGTGAATTGAATCACATAACGCGGAAATAACTCTATCATGAAACGTAATGGAAGCCCTAGTACACAGTTACATACAAATAAATCTATAATTTCTAACTGTGGCTTAAACTTGAAACACTTTCCTGACCTAAATGTTCTTCTATTTTTTAATTTGATATATTTTATTAATCCCCATGGGGAAATTGTTTCTCTGCATTTGACCCATCCTAGTGTTAGGAGCAGTGTACTGCCATTTTGAATGGTGCCCGGGGAGCAGTGTAGGGAATGGTGCCTTGCTCAGGGACACCTCTGTAGCACTTGGTCTTGCCAGGACTTGAACTGGTGACCTTCCAGTTACCAAGCCAAGTCCCTATCGACTTCGCCACCACCGCCCCAAAAGCCAAAGATTGGCTTTTGTAGACAACGTAATTAACATTTAAGTTTATGCATGTGTGTTTCCTCAACTATTCAGTGTCCCCAGAGCCAGTTTAGAGTCAGAACATTTTACCTTGTGCAATACTGTCAGACAAATGTGTTGCAAAAATAACCTTTTCTCTAATGCAAAAAACAAGAAGTCGCAGTCACTCAATGAATACAAACACAATTAATAACTATTCTAGCTAGAGTTTTTTAAGATAATTGATTACATTATATGAACAATTCTAATGAAGGTAACAAATACAACAAACAAATAAATCAATTGATTATTTCATGCCCTTCTACTTAGAACCCAATATACAAGACAAGCTCCTAGGAGATAATAGAAAAGGTAAGGGAAAAGTAAACAGAAAGCAAAATCTGCATTATTGTTTCAGAAATGGATTAACATTTTGAAGTGGGCAGGCTACTTACAACCTCTTCAAACTGTACAAGCCGCTGAAGGCGTGTTTGGATATGAACTGGAGGCTGTTGTTTTGCAGATACCTGGGAACAGAGTAAAATAATCATAATCCATTTTCCCTCAATGCACACTTACACAAAGAGTACGCCTGAAATGATTGTAAAAATGATAAATACCAGGTTTTTAGAGCAGAATCATCATTATCAACCACTGCAGAATAATTATTTCCCTTTTTACACTTCAGTGAGAACACAGACAGGATAATAAGGTCATCCACATCAACACAGAGGACAGAACAATCAGTTGCTGAGATGTAAAATATGACCATTAAATCACCCCTATAACTAGTGTTCAAAAGATGTAAATTGCCATGAACTTTTAAGACAGTGAATATGTTTGTGAATGTGTGTGTTCCATACTAACTAGATACTGCAGACAGCTGCTTTATAATAACTACTCAAAGTGTGGACATTATTAATTATTTTGGCACTATTATTTAACCATAACATGCAGCACGAAAGTAAATCCTCGCAAAAATAGAGATATATTCTATGCATACTCATTAATCCACTGAGTTGAAAAAGGAAACAAAAGGCAGCTTCAAGTCTTGAGTCAATTTAGTGATTACCATTTGAGCCTCATAAATTATAAAACAAAAGACACAAATACACATTTTATGTTATTATAACCTAAACCAATTTTGTGCTCCTCTCTATCTTGTCATGAAAGTTTGCAAGAGTATGAAATTAAAACTAATCTTGGTTAGGATTATAAAGTGTCATCTGTTTTACACTTTGTTGGTGTATTCATGCCTTCTTCAGTATTTATCATTAATAATGAAAGTCACAATTCTTAAGAAGATTCTGTGTGTTTCAATATTAATGCACACTTCCTTAATACACATCTAGACTAGAATGACGCAGCATAATGAAGACAGTTGAATGCCAAATGGTTCAAATGTAAACAAATACTTCTGGTTATCTGTCACTACATTTATCTTTTCTTAGTATTTATCTTCATGACGGATGAAAAACTAAAAGGACATCAGAGATGATTCGTTCCTAATACATTTTTAAATGATTAATTGAGTATTTACTAAATAACAATTGGAAATGCGAGAACGACTTGTAACCGTCACTCTAGTTGCCTCCTAACGGTGAACAGCATGACATTTATTTGACTGCAGTCTGTCTCACATAGTAAAATCATTTCAAGTATGATAAATGAAACAAAATGTCAAGTTTGCCTGGTTCACTCTGCAGCAATATGCAGTAATTTACGCAAGAATAACACACATCTATTTGTAATAATAATGATAATAATACATTACATTTATAAAGCGCTTTTCCTGGTGCTCAAAGTGCTTACAAGCAAGTAAAACTAAATAACAACAAAAGTAGAAAGTGCTAAGCTAGGAGGAATAAGGGCAAGGGGTTAGGAGTTGAAGGCAAGAGTGAAAAGGTGAGTTTTGAGAGATTGTTTGAATGATGTGAGAGTGTTGGCGGGTCTGACGTGGCTGGGGAGGGAGTTCCAGAGTGTGGGGGAGGCTGCAGCGAAGGCCCTGTCACCCCAGGTCCGGAGCTTTGTCCTGATGGGCTGCAGTAGGTTAGCTTCAGCAGACCTGAGGCGACGGGTTGGGTTGTGTCGTTGGATGAGGTCACAGAGGTAGGGGGGGGGGGGGGCAAGGTTGTTGAGGGCTTTGAAAGTGAAAAGTAATATTTTAAAGTCAATGCGGTGTTTGATGGGGAGCCAGTGGAGGTCATGGAGGATAGGGGCGACGTGGTCGGAGCGTCGGTGGAGGTGAGCAAGCGGGCAGCTGAGTTTTGGACATATTGAAGTTTTTTTAGTGTGAATGCAGGTGATCCAAAAATTATGCTGTTGCAGTAATCCAGTCGGGATGTTATAAAGTTATGGATCAGAGTTTCAGCAGCGGTTGATGAGAGGGAGGGTCTGATGCGGGCGATGTTCCTTAAATGGAAGAATGCGTTTTTTGTGACCTGGTTGACGTGAGGGAGGAAAGTGAGGGTGGGGTCGAGGATGATGCCAAGGTTACGGATGTGAGTGGAGGGGTTCACAATGTCTGACAATAAAAGAGATGAACTGCTTCACAATGATAGTGGACAATCTACAGCAAAGAAAATAATTAAATGAAAGGGGACGGATGAAATAAATCCATGAGCAATATCATATTAAAAAAAAAACACAACCACGCTAAGTGGCTGCACATACACATTGTAATGTGTGTTGAGCTCGTTTTGTCTATGATTTCAGAGATCCACATTTCTATCTGGAAATGCAAACAGTAGTAACATTTCAATGGACATTCCCTTTCTGTCTTTTGGGGTAGGAAAGGTAAAAAAAACAAAAAAAACGAAATGTATTCAACTCAAAAGGCAAGTATTAGGATGGGCTCTTATCTTCCGAACCAAACACATGTTTGCATTTGCTTGTATAAATGCACAGTATGATGATTCTTGGCCCTCTACCTATATATCAATGTGCATGTTATTAAGTAACAAACATTGAGTGTGTCTTTCGACTTCATCAGTGCTAGTTTTGCTCAGCCATTAATTCCTTTTTTGTTTTGTTTACTGTAGTGGGACTATTGTTTTCTTAACCCCTACCATAAAATCTCATCTAACAGATTCTGAGTAACTCACTAAGTGTAGAAAACACATAAATAACAGAGTTTACCAACCTAAACTGTATTTGCAAAAATGTGAAAAGTAACATAAAAATACTTACAGTCTCTCTAGGTAAGAGTATTCTGAGAAAACTAAATCAGACAACACTCGAATCTCATTTCTCCTCAGTGACCTGTAACAGAAGCCATACAATGGTAGAGTTAGGAAAGCACAACATGCATTTAATGTTAACACAGTGGAGCAATACAAACCTTATTTACTGCTATTTTTATTTAGAGGTGGCTTTTAAAGAGTGTGTGGCTTCACATTTCTACAATAATTGAAGCACCATCTGTATAAGTGAATACTTGAAAAGGTCAACCGTGTAATACGAAAAAGTTGGACCAAGACCACAGTGGAATAATACTGGACGCAGGGAAGGTGATAAAGATAACGAAAATGTAAGCGAGCTAAAATAAGAATAAATGGGTCCACAATTGATATACTGTTGTAACTATCAACAATAACAAACTCATACTTTTGTCATCCACAGATACTGCACCTGTTGACCTACTCAGGCACTCAAGCTATTTATTTATACGTTTTTAGTTTTACACTTTGAATGTCAAGCACGGAACAAGATATTCTGACTTTTAAATTAATCCTCTCTTAACTCAAGCATGACAGTTCTGTGGCTTTTAGAGGTAAAAAGGTATCTCCAGAACCACGGGACAAAATGTCTATTATAATAATTCAGCAAGCGTACAATCACTGAGAACAAAAGACAGAGAGACTGAAATTGAATTACTCACTAACAGAGCGAAAGCGGGTGGACAAATTGAAACGGTGACTATAGGAATAAGATTAAACAACCTAACCGAATAAAGACGTATAGACAGAGAAGTAATTTGCACACTGTATGCACCAAACTAACTACAAATATGATTGAAAGCTACAACAAACATCTTATTCATGTTACTGTTGATCTTTCTGAGCAGTGGGGGCTGTAGCAGAGGCCCAGTGATGTTCAGACGTCAGGAACTCAAACCGTTTCTGGGTTCGTTGGGGGCTATTGTAAAATCCAAAGCCAAGCCAAGCGAGACAGTGCCCTAAAATCAAACGGTTGAATTGATTTTACAACTAAAAAGCAGCAACTGCACAGACTATAAAGTTGGGGAGAAGCGGTGCTGTCAGCAGCGTGCAGACCTGTGCTGCAGCCTGAACATTTATTCTTGGCTGAGGACAGATTTATTTGAAAAAGATAAAGCTTCTTTTATAAGAAGAGAGCAAGGGAGTGACTTCTCTTTTCAAAGCGAAGAGAAGTAAGTGTGAAATGACCTGCTGACAATCAAAACAACAATCAAAAGGATGTATCATTTTGACTGTGAATTGCTATCAGGGTTTGAGTTTTGTTGTGTCTAATTGTGGGGTTATTTTGCTTTTCTGTTCTCCCTGGCCCTTTCTCATTTCTCTAACTCCCCTCCTCGACTCCTATCCTCGAGACTTAGTCCCGCCCACAGGAGATGCGAACGAAGGAGTCGAGGAGGGGAAGCAGAAATGAGAACTCCTCTCTTCTGAGCGGTCTTTTTAAAGAGACGTCCATTAATGATGACAGGAGGCACAGCAGCCCTCTGTCTGATGGACAGATGTGTTCATGATGAAATATATTTACTTTTAATTCATTCACAGTGCGGTATAATGAGACAATAACAGGCTACAGATGCGGACATATACACACACATATATTTATATAAATATACAATTTCTGAATCAAACAAGTATGAGAGCACTCTCATAATAATGTAACACAATCAGAGACTGGTTTCCACCCCCCCCCTCTCTCTGGTCGCTGAAATGGGGAATTGAAATTACGGGCCAAAAGTTGTACAAGTATTAAAAGTAAGCATAGGACACCAAACCAACTGAGACCCGTCTGTCCGCCGCATCTACGCACTGTACAACACACACCTACACACTGTACCACACACACACCTACACACTGTATACCACACACACCTACTGCTCCTAAAGCATAATCAGGCTACAGCCGTTGTGTATTTTATTATGTGAAGCACTAAATGGTCTTTGAAAAATATTGACTCTTTGTTTGTAGATATCTACTAAACTACAGCAAATACAGAGAGTAATGTAGGCCTGTTATACTGAGTGATATATATTATACACACTGCTCTGCTTTCTGCACGGACCTCACAGCTGTTCTCACTGTAAACATTGCGTTGCGATGAAAGTAGTTACTAATATAATATCCAAGGGATGCATGCAGAGCTGTCATTGGCTGAGATAAGTCCAGCGTGCGTCACGCCTCCACCGTTCCCGGAAATGCATCCGTGGAGGAGCCGTGGAGGATGCATCAGTGTCTCCTCGGTTAGAGCTCCTCCAGAGAGCCTCCTCGATGCTCGATCCTCGAGATGCATTTAGAGAAATGAGATGTCCTTCAACATGGCGCGCTGAAATTCATTTCCGGGTCACTACCGGAGGACCGAGGAGTCGAGGAGGGGAAATTTGAGTATTGAGAAACCTCTCTTGTGTATTGTCTGGTCCCTCTCCCTAGCCTCATCCCAATACCCCTCCTCGACTCCTCCCCTCTCCTCCTCCGGGACTTGACCCGGAAATCGATCAAGACACGCCATGTTGAAGGACGTCCCAATAGCTGAAATGCACACGGAGGAGTCGAGGAGGGGTGAGGGAGGAGGGGTGCGGGAGGAGACGAAAGGGAGGAGACGAAAGGGAGGATACACGTGAGCAGACTACGCGGAAGTGTTTTCACTACTCACGTATAAAAGCCCCGCCCCCACCTTCACAGCTGGTCGATTTCAACAGAGGAAAACCGACTCCTCGGTCCTCCGGTAGTGACCCGGAAATGAATTTCAGCGCGCCATGTTCAGTGTGCGAAAAAGTGCACGTCCCACCGTCCGGGACGTGTTATTCACAACATCGGACAAGTAGATATTTAAATTGACTTGTCCGATGGACAAGTGACGTTTTTCGCCCCTTTTTATTGACAAATTATTGATAAATTCAGCTTACAAAAGGCACAACTCAAATTGTCCGTGTCCGCCGTTGTTGTTTGCAACCGCTTTACGTTTCCTTTTTATTCACTTACGTCGTGTCGTAAAACTGTGTGAAAATGTAAAATACGATGGCGAAGAAGAAGGTTCTCGTGGCCCCAAGAGGGCAACAAAAGATGTATTTCTTTTCTAAGAAGGTGTGTACACATAATTCTCACAGTTGTAAAATTGTGTGTTAAATTAACAAGGAAAATAATTGAAATAAATTGTCAGAAAATTAAGCCTCTTAAGTCCTGAGCCTGTTTTTCAGGTTTCAGGCTCGAAAATGCTATGCCCCAAACAAATGACTATAACTTAACTTCTAAAAGGGTTATATGAATAATTTATTTTATCAAAGCAAGGTTACATCTGTGAGTTGAATGTAGAAGTGTCAGAATCAATATAGATGTTTCTGTGTCAGAGTAAATTCAGATGGAACATAGCAGAGGTGTGGACTCGAGTCACACATTTTATGACTTGAGACTCGACTTGCAGCGTTAGCTAGTGCAGCAGCAGCTAATGCAGCGTTAGCTAGTGCAGCAGCTCCCGCAACAACACCGGGGGACCTCCGGGCGAAGTTTGGGTCTGCGTCAACCCTAAAAGCGGAGGTGCTGTAGACTCAGAAAAAACATTTGTTTCTCCGAATCGAAGGGGAAAAATACAAAAGCATTGCACACAATTTAAACCAATCAATGTTGTGTAATTAACAAGGATAATCTGGTGTTTTTTAGTCGATGAGTAGTGCAGATATCACTGTAAAATAAATCGACAGTAAGAGGAATACTTACTTCCGGGTGTACAATTCTCCGTTATCCAATGGGAATGGACGCTCACATTGCCTTTAAGGGCAGCCGACACAAACGAATGCCGTGCTTTCATGAGCGTCAAATCCCGCCGCAGATGGGAATATATTGCAATCAGTTGAAAGCTATTTGCGTCCCTTTATGACGCTGAAGGAGCCTAGGAGCGTCACAACTGGACGCCACGGACACTGACCAAACGTCGCTCCTGGACGCTTAGGGAGTGAGAGTGTGTTGATGTACAGCACTTTGGCTCGACCAAAAATCGTTTATAAATGTGCTATATAAATAAAACTTGATTTGATTTGGGGGAGTACTGGCTAATTAAATCAGTTCGGAGAGAACATGAGGCTTACTGAGTAAAGATTAAAGATTCACAGGATCAAGAATATATTGTTGGGTGCGTTTCATGGATAACAACTCAATACAAAAAATTGTCCAAATTCAATTAGGATAAGGATAGGATTCACTCACTTGCATATAGACTCTTATTGCACTATTCCACTTTTTTACTTTTTGTATTTACTTGCAATATTCTTTCTGTTTTATTGTGTTGCACTGTTGGAGGAGCCTGTGACCTCAGATTTTCATCGTCATAACTACACTGTAGGTGTGTACGCATGACAATAAAAGCCTTGAACCTTGAACCTGGAACCTTGAATGTAATGAGAAAGCTAGTTTTAAAAAAAATCTTCCCAGGTGTTCGAGTAGATATGATTACTAAAAGACCGAGGGGAAACAGCCTGGTGGTCTACAAACTCAAAATACACCTTTGAGCGGCCCAAAATCTCAGTAAGAGATATTTTTCATGGCAGACATTTTTGCTGCTCATAACAGAAAAAGCACAAGTGTAATTGATTACATTAAAAACAACAGAATTCCATGTCGCTGGGTGCTTTCCATCTTCCTGGTATTGTGCATTTTGGCTCAGTGGCACGGTTCACTGCTGTGCTTTCTTTTTGCCTGACATTGACAGGCCATCAATCAGAGACGACAGCAGAGTTTCTGATTGTCTATAGAGTGGCGAAGTCCCTCCCCTTCCGGTGGACCTCCATGGGACCTTATTTCGAACAAATTATGTATTGAAGTCAATGGAGAGAGAAAGATTATCTTTCGATCCCGTTTGAATTGTGCCACGAATTACACATTTACACATTGTTTGTCAATTTAAAAGATAATTTTGCAAGTCAAAAAAAAAAAGTGTCGTAAAACTGTGAAGTAAGTAACACATTTGTTTGTGTGAAACGCACAATTAACTACATCTCTGGTCTCGCAGAACAACACACGTCACCAAGATGGCCGTCACGTTGTCTTGTCTTTGTCACTTTGTCTTGTCTTTGTCACTTTGTCTTGTCAACAAAACGATTGACTACCCTCGCTATCACCACAATGAAACACGTCCAGAAGAATGTCATGCAAAGCTGCTTGCCTGCCTTCCTTTGATTCTCTCTGAACTGCCTGGTCTTTTTAATGTTTAATGTCAATTGTCAACCATTTGTGCAGATAGCATGAAGTAGAAAAGATCGGCGATCGCCGATGCTAGCGTTAGCATTTCTCCCCCGGGCTTAAATTGTGTATTATATAATGATCACACCGGTGACAGTACTCTTCAAAGGGTTCACGAAATATGACTACTACTCTTACTGTTTAACATTTTGGGTTACTTAATGTTACTTCATATTAATAAAAATGACAAGCCTGTAATGCTAACTAACATGCTAGCTACTAGCTAGGTAACTAACTTGATCCAGCCACTCCTGGTCCTTTCATCAGACGGGAAGCGAAAGAACGAGCAAGACCCATTGCTGGTATCAGGGGCGGACTGGCCATTGGGAATACCGGGAGTTTCCCCGGTGGGTCGGTGCTGTGCGTGGGCCGGAGGGCCCAACAAATATTTTATTTAAAAAAAAAAAAAAAAAATGTAAAACAAAATCTTTTTGTATTTTCCTAAATCCTACCGGCCCACATTTGTAAGTGTTCCGGCCACTCCCTGCGCAGTGAACGATCAAGAGTGAGTGACTGAGAGACCTAGCTGGCAGTTGCTTACAGATGGATAAACAAGCTCCAAAGCGTAAAGGCGTTTTTGTATAGTTTGTGTATACAGTGTATACAGTATTGTGGCAAGCCCTGGGTTCAGAGGGAGGGGCTTGCATAGGGGAGGGGGGGGGGGGGGGGGGGGGGGGGGGTTGGCAGGGAAACGGGGTTCAGGGGGAGTGGCTGTACCCGTAGGATAGAAAAGGGGGGAGTTTGATTGATTGATTGATTGAAAAGTTTATTAACAGCTTGTATATTGGGTACAGTACAGTACAGCTCAAAACATACAATTGTTAAGGGGATGCAGACCAGAGAAAGACTTTCGTCTTGTTTAAATCAGGGTCCCCCATTTCCAATTCATCATGTCATTTAAGACATATAAGACATATTTGACATACAGATGGCTTATTTACAATTTACATACAGGTGGTTTTTTTACATACAGATTGCTTGTTTACAATTTTCATTTTAGATTTCGTTCTAATACATCCTAACCGGACATTTAAGACATACCAAGTCTACAGATATACAGTTAGTAACAGAGTCTAAAATGCGAGTATATACATAGATGGGGGGGGGGGGGGAAGCTGTCCATTGAACGACAGGTTGAGATTTGTACCATTACCGGGGCCAGTTTTGCAATGCTCTCCCCCGAAGGTGCTCTTTAAGAGAGGTTTTGAAGGTAAGTATAGTTTTACTTTCCTTTATGACGTCTGACTCAGAGGTCGCGCGGCTGTGGAGAAGAACGTGTTGCCCACATTCTGTTACTGAGTTTAGGCTAGTTAGCTAGCAGGTTTATTGTGTTGGGTGCAGTCACTTTTGCCTCCACTTGCTGTTCAAATAAATGTTGAAAGAAAAAGTAAATCTGTTTACAGTTCTGTTTCATATGGGTGTTGAGAGATCTATCCATATATTTAGTCCCTAATTTTGCTCTCAAAGTGCACCAAATTGACGCATTTAACTTCAACATTTAAAAAAAAAATCTTCCCGGGGGAGCAAGCCCCCGGACCCCCCTAGAGGAGGTAAGGTCTACCACCTGCCCACACCCCCTGTTAAATTGTCTCACCCACATTAAGGATGCTTCCTATGCCCATGTTTTATTCCATGTGTCAAGTCAGGCAAATTGGGTCCAAATGTTATTGCATCAATGATCTGTTAACATTAAAATCACTAAATATATGCTGTAACTATTTTTGCTCTAACTCAAGGGCTCAGGTGATTACTATATGAATAATTGTCCAAAATAACATTAAATGCATAGAGTTTTTTGTTTTTTGTTTTTCGTCACCGGCTGGCCGATACATGCTGCGCATTAAGTGGGCCTGTCTGTCAATTAATCCCTAGGCCACTTTTTCCTCCCAGTCCGCCCCTGGCTGGTATGATAACAACCTGGTACTAAGCACACAGGCATCTTGTTAAAATTATCTTATCTTTGCCAGCGCCATATAGATAGATTATATCTATATGGCGCTGATTTGAGCTATCTCTTAGTGGAGGAAAACAATTATGACATCACTTACGCGACTCTGGGATTTGTAGTCTTTCTAGTTGCGTATTTTTCATAGTCTTATTTCAACAGTTTTACGACAAACTGTGACTTTTTTGACATGGAAATTATTTTTTAAGATTGACAAACATCATATGTGTAATTCATGGCACAATTCAAACGGGATCGAAAGATACGTTTTCTCTCTCCATTGACTTCAATACATTATTTTTCCAAAATAAGGTCCCATGATGAAAAATACAAAAATGTATAAGAAGGCAAACATAGCTATAGACTAGAGGTAATCTGATTTTGGTGCTTTTCCCTTTAACAGGGGTCTAACAGGATTACATCTTTTGACAATAAAAGCCTCTGCCTCTACATCTCCAGGAACATAAACAACAAGCTGAAAACTGCATTGCTGAAGCCAGATTCCGGACTAAAATAGCTTTGTGAAAAGAAAAAAAATCCAAGCTTTGAAGAGATTTCACTTTAAACTCCAACGGGTAGTCACACACAAGTATACAAAGACTGACACACACATCAATACAATGAGAAGACACTTACAGCCAGGTAACGTTAGGAGAGAGCCGAGGAACATCCTGCAGGTTGACCTCCACACACACCACATCTGTCTGTTTGCAGTCACAACTCTCCGGATACTCCTGCAACACTACACACACATACACACACTTTAAACATGCATTCATGGTTTCTTATTAAAGAAGGTTATTACAGAATGTTACAAAGTGATACAAGTGTTCCTTTGGGAGACAACATGAAACATTTGATTGTGCAGAAATTATTTTCATCATCGAACAGTTGTTGAAATTGAAAATGCCTGTTACTTATTACCAGGGCCCTACAGTGATATGCTTTATGCTTCTTGTGCTTTTCTCTTTTTTACTTTAGTGTGTTATAGGTTTTTGTGCATGTACAGTAAATGGTCTGCAAAGGCTAAAATCCCAAAGTTCACGACCGAGGGAGTTTCTCTCCCCCACTGCCTGAAACGCCTCTATTGGACTCCTTGGTTTACTTCTGTGACATAATAAAATCACTATGTAGCACTGCAGCTCTACAACATATTGTATGTGAGGCTAGGGGCCTGGAAACCTCTAAGTGGTTAACCAATCACAACAGAGCTTGCCAGCTAACCAATCAGAGTGGACTGAGTGAAAAGAGGTGCTGCAGCACAGGCAGTATGAGAACAATAAATACCTTTTTGAACATTAAAGCATGTAAACATATCACACAATACAAATATTAACCTGAAAATGAGCATAATAGCGCCCCTTTAAGTATTTATGGTTCAAGCTTTTACTTTATCAGATGATGATCCTCATATCTGAATGTATATGTAAGGATCCTTATTTTATCAAAGCAATAACAGACAGATATTCATACAAAAGTAAATACTTAAACACATTCAAGCATGCATATTGTTTACGCACACACTTACAACACTCATTTAGGAGGTACTGTTCCACATGTTTGGCATCCTGTAGTGTACGACCAAATGAGTCCGCCCAGCCGTAGTTGTCCCCTGCAAAGCCAAACAAGGACAATAGTATCTGCACAGACAGATTACACCCAGTGACGATCACTCACACGGATGGTAAAGGCTACAGAAATGTGGTAGGCACAAGATAATCCTTCATCGAGGCATATTATCTTGTTCATTTATTGCAGTTGGATGAGGTTATGATTCATTTGAATTAAGAATAAAATGTGCTTCATAGGAAATTGCAGCAGTTGATCTAAAAATACTGCTCTGACATTATTTCATTACCTTTCAAATTATTTAAAATGTAACTGCACTTAAGGGATGTAGTTTGATTGAAAATGTTGTTGAATTTAATAATCTAGTTGCTAGAATCAAGGTAAATTGTACTAAAACATAACTCCAGGCTTTTGACATAAAGATATTTTACTTAGAAAAGTAACTGGCATTTCACATGCCTGTAAACAGCAATGAACACGTTCGCTACTAAACAACAGAAGCTTATAATAACTACCCATAACATATAACATCTGAACGAGGCTTCGATCACATGTAGATGTTGTCTAATAAAAGACAGATTTTGCACCAAAGGCATTAACCAGAGCCTGACTGGAGCTGTCAAACATGTTGTCCCCGACAGGAAGCCAGCACATTTGTTTGCACTCCAACCACAACCTCCCTGAGGCTGGAGGCTGCATGTGAACACACACTGAACAAAAATATAAACGCAACACTTTTGTTTTTGCTCCCATTTTTCATGAGATAAACTCAAAGATCTAAAACATTTTCTATATACACAAAATAACCATTTCTCTCAAATATTATTCACAAATCTGATTAGACAGCATGATTATTGCACAGGTGTGCCTTAGGCTGGTCACAATAAAAGGCCACTCTGAAACGTGCATTTTTGCTTTATTGGGGGGGTCTGGGGGGGTCCGAAAACCAGGCAGTATCTGGTGTGAGGGTTAGGGGTAGGGGTAGGGTTAGGGTAATGTTGTGAATCGAGTGGCCCATGGTGGTGGTGGGGTTATGGTATGGGCAGGCGTATGTTATGGACGACGAACACAGGCCACTCAATTCACAACATTACCCTAACCCTACCCCTCACACCAAATACTGACTAGTTTTCGGACCACCCCAGACCCCCCCAATAAAGCAAAAATGCACGTTTCAGAGTGGCCTTTTATTGTGGCCAGCCTATGCACACCTGTGCAATAATCATGCTGTCTAATCAGCATCTTGATATGCAACACCTGTGAGGTGGGATGGATTATCTCGGCAAAGGAGAAGTGCTCACTATCACAGATTTTTTCAGATTTGTGAACAATATTTGAGAGAAATGGTTATTTTGTGTATATAGAAAATGTTTTAGATCTTTGAGTTCATCTCATGAAAAATGGGAGCAAAAACAAAAGTGTTGCGTTTATATTTTTGTTCAGTGTAGATAAAAGCTATGAAGAGTCACTGGTGATAATGAGAAGATGTGATGGATGGTTGTTCCTCTTTGCTTAAGGGTCAAAGCTTTGGGGTTTTAAACTCTCAGAAAAACAACTTTTTGTGTCATAGTTCATATGGTGAAATATTGCAAATGGTGGGTGAGCAATCATTTTGTCAACTATATTGAAAGGCAAAATGAAATTGATCTCTGTTCTGTAAAAAGAAAAGTAATAATCAGCCATGCTCGCTTAACGGCTCACTCTATACCCTTTATTTTTATTTCATTACTATGTTCCTTCTTGTTTTGTACATAACATGTCACTGAATGTATCATACAGTAGTGTATCCCTAAGCCTAAGAACATATTTCAATGAGTAAGGATTCCTATTTATACATTATCTCCTGCTTCATGTGCTGTCAAATTGTTTTTTCCACAGTTATTGCTCGAGCAACTTTCTGGGTTTTAGTAGACAGCACTATCGTTACTCAACAGCAAATCATTAATCTCGACAATGAGCAATTTGGGGAGAAGTGTCTTGCCCAGGGACACAGCGACATGCTGACTGCAGTGGGGTTTGAACCTGTGCTCCCCTGATCCGAACACCAACGCACTAGTCCACTGCGCCATACGCCTCCTTAGGTCAATGAGAGTACACCCCCACGGCCACGTTCCATGTCAGCGTTAACACTTAGTATCTCTTCTGTGACTAAAATATAACAGTGTGTATATCTCAAAGAACAGAGCTTGGATTAAATAGCAGGTCATTTGCAGCTGAGGAGACAAGCAGCTCTGCAGGAGGACACACACGCTGAGCAAACTGCTTTTTATCCCACACAACAATTACATGAAATTCCCCGTGGTGTATGCCGATGCTGAGTCCACAGAAACAAGTACAACAGTGTTTAAAGTTGTTATGTACAAAGAACTCTATTAAAGATGTTTAGCCGATTAACATATACATTAGAGAATGAGGAAGATACTTACTGTACATTATTAGGTACGTCTAACTCCTCACATTCTTGTTGATTAGGCAATATTGCACAAATTGGAAGATGGAAAAGAGGATAATGAATACAGTTGAGACTAATTTGTGCTTCTTATTGAGCTAGCTGATATGAAACAGTTAGAATAGTTTAAAATTGCAAATCAGATTAAAAGAGTCTGATATGGGTCTCCAGCGATTAAACACTTATTGATTGATTAAATATGAAGCCAACAGCTGTCTTTCCAATATAAATCTCAGAAAGCTAATAAGCTGCTTTTCAAAATGTGAAATCTTGACACAATAGATATACTGTTCAATAGATAAGGAGATTGGTCTTGAATGGTAATGTAAACAATGTGTTTCAAATATTAAACCGTTTAATACATCTTTTTTTTCTGATGCTGACAGTGTTACCCTTTTCTCACATTCAGCCTTCTCGCTTCTTATTAGAGGGTTCACAGATTTGGAGATTGCAAAATATGGTCGTGACAAGATTTCCCTCCAGCAGCTCAGCCCCAGATGACCAAGGAGCTGCAGAGATCACAGGAAAGCAAGACTACATTTGCTCCGGAAGCGTAGCATTCGTTGCTGTTTCCATATACTGTCTGTCTGTGCATATGTCACATTAGGTATCGCTTAACTAAATGTCAAAAAGTGGTTGTATTGAAGTGAAATATTAGCAAATGCCAAATCAAATTGCTTTAAAAAAAATATTCGAAACAAGATTTTTTGATTAAATTGCTTCTAAAATCACAGAATAAGTAGATTGATATCTTTGCATAAAATGGAGGGAATACTGGGTAAAAATCTGAATCACTTCCTTTTCCCCTGGGCTAAATCTACAAGGTGTGAACACATGCTGAGTGTATAATCATCGCCCGCTAACGCCTTTGGTTTATAAACACGCCTGTCATCCTCAATTCTTAATCTTGTTTAATATTAAAAATGAAGGGGCTGTTACGGTTCAGAAACCAGATTTACATAAATCTAATTTATCATGACATTCATTGGAATCCACTCGTTGACCGGGAAGTCACAGGTGGCACATCATTATATTAAACTGTCAAAATGCAGTTAACTGAAAAAGATGCCTTGATGTTTCGAGTGACAAACTAAGAGCTTGTTCTCCTGTGAATAGAGGAAGGCACAAACTGTCAAAGTGTTCTTAATTTAAGACTGTAAATAATCCGAGTTGTGGCTCTTGCTTTTACAAAGAGCCAGCTGTATCCACAACTTGATTCTGGCTGAATTTCAGCAATAAGACCTCCAAAGAGATGCCAACCTTTCATTTTTTGGGCAACTATCCAGTCTTCTTTACGGCACAAAGTTGAGTGTGTTGAAACTGGATCAAGTTTTATGGAAAACACTTTTCTGGATTTCCCTTTCCTGTCAGGGTGTTAGCCGTTAGCTCTGTAATGGGTTTGTTTACCCTGATAGCACAAAAGCTTTGGATCGCTGGGAGTAGAAGGTTTACAGGTCCGGTGTGGTGGAAATACTGGTGGGTAGCGTCTCCTGTTGAGGTACATTATCTGTGTAAGTGTAATGTACATTAATCATATTTACGATGTATTAATTAATTGCACTTTGAACCTGAAGGGTCGTCAAATGGGATCTTGTTACTTTAATATGAAGATATAAAAATCCTCTTATATTCATGTTTTTAATAGGGAACTTAATGTGTATTTAATAAATCCCTCTTGGTGGCTCATTTGCACGGAACATGTTTCAAAGAGCAAAGCTTTTCCACGCTTTTCCACTTCCTGCTGATCACCTTGGGGACGGTTAACTAGTCGGAAAGAACCAGGGGTCACAATAGCCGCTTTCACACCGCAGGACTTGCCGTACTTTAGCCGGCACTAAAGTACCACGGCACTGAATCCGCCAGGGGGCTAGTGCCAATCGCATTCACACCGCAGTACTTTCCCTGAGGCAAGATTACGCTGACGTCACTTCGTCTTCTTCTTCTCTGGGTTTACTGGCAGGCCGCAAAACCACTTCACGGCAGGTACAAAAAAACGAGAGAAGAAGAACTACACGGGGGAGGGGGTATAAAGCCCACCCGCTGTATGAGGCGTTTGTTTACTTTCCGACCTCAGACATGATGGAGTTCATAAGGGTAATAAGGGTAATTTACAAATAAAATACCCCATTATAACAATGGACTTTATCTTTATGTATTTATTATATATTACCCCTTCAGGCTGATTTTGGAAAAGGACATTAACCCTTGTTTGGTGTTTTTCCCTTATTTATCTAAAACAAATGACATGATAAATTACTTGTGTTTATGTGTGTAAGACTTGTGTTTCTGCCCCTGCCATTGCTGCACAAGGTTGCAACATTGTAGATAAATTCAACCACCAACACCTGTCTGCTCTCACATTCTTCTATTCTGCAAATTTGGGGTGGGACACAATAAATAAAGCTTCGCCAGTTTGTTTGTTTTATTGCACAGTCAAGACATAACAATAACGGCATCACGCTGTTACAGGTGTGTAAATTGACGTAAATTGAAGTTAAATAAAAGTGTGAAATGTAAAATAAAGTGTAAGTAGTTTCAAAACAATGTAACAGTGGCAATATATATAGCAGCAGACACACCTTAGTGCAAGTTAGGTGTCAGTATTAAAAAACAGTGGCAATATATATATATATAATAACAATAGAAAATCGTTACCACTCTTATTATTGTGGTCTTTAATTTTTTTTATAGTCCTGCCTGAGCTTCTTTATTTTTACCCGACATCCGTGTGCACTGTGCACGATTCCCAGCTCAAGTAGCTTTTGCGAACATCGCTCAAAACATTTGGAGTTGGGAACTGCTTTCTGTAGAAGCTGCTGCATCCCGTCCTCAGAGTAAATTGCCAGAAGCGCCGACACTTCCTCATCATTCCACCGCTCCGGTGTTGTAGTACGTGTGGTCATAACTGCTTTAAAGTACAAAAAAACTACTCGCTCAGGTGTGGATGTGGTTTTGTAGCGAGGAAAAAAATGGCTGCCTAACAAAAAAAAATTCAGAGTCTAACGGGGCGTGGTTTGCAATTCGCCCAGCCAATAGAAATAGAATATAAATTGGCACTCTTTTATCACCAGGTTCGTACCACCTCTCTAGCAGGGACTAAAAATGGCCAAAAGAGATCCCGGCACTGAGTAGTCCCGGCGGTGTGAACGCGACATTATTGGTACTAACGGAACTAAAGAACCAAAGTACCAGGGAAAGTCCTGCGGTGTGAATGCGGCTCATGTGCTTGTGTAGTTATATTTTCTATTTTATCCTTTGCCCTGCAGTGTTAAATGAGAGAATCTACTTTTGTTGCTCTTGGTATAATGAAGTAAGACATGTGGAGCATTAGTATGTGTTGTGAAGTGCTTTCTGGAGCATCTCTCTCTGGTAAAAAAATGAAATTACCCATCCTGTATATGTTGATGAGACAAGTCTGTCGTACGAAAGTACTATGACATGGCATTTTAATGTAAAAAAAACCCACTTACAACAGCGGCGCTCGTCAGCTCCATTGGGACAGTCTTTGTGTCCGTTACACTGCAGAGCCTGTGGGAGGCAGTCACTCATGTTCCCACATGGGAAATGGCCGAGTGGGCATCTATCATCGACTTCCTGATTGTTGCCCAAGAGAGCTGAGGGAGAGATGGACAAAAGAGACTGAGATGAAATGGGTTATTCTCACAAAAGCGTCACATTTCAACTGTCTACATTCAGTTCAGGGGAAAAGTGTGACTCATATAAGTTAAAAGCAAAACTTCACAGGAAATATTTCAAAGTAAGGGAAGGTAGTGGTAACACTTTATGGTAAGGGGACATCAATCATCATGAATTCATGCATTACTTAATGCATGAATTCCAGGCCAAAAAGCTGACCAGTCACAGCAATTCCAAGTGTTGTAATCATGATTAACTAAGCATACTTCATCATGTTTGTGCCCCTTCAAATAAAGTGGTGACCTGATCCGTCGTTTACACTGATAAATAACATATGATTAACAATAACAATGGTTAGTAACCATTTGGTGCTCATGCATCAATCATCTTTGTGATCCCTCAAATAAAGTCAGCCCTGATGTCTATTTAGGCATCATGTATTTGGCAATATTACAAATGCAAATTAGATCATAATTTTGGACTTAATTTAAATGATCAATTATATAGTTAGGACTTTTTTTATGTATCATACAGTATTATCTTAAAGCTAACATACCATTAAAGATAACTCATTCTTAACATACTTTAATTTATAATTCAAAGCCAACAAGATCACATTTTCACATATCATGTCACATAAGAAAGCAGTAACAAATGTCGGCAAAGCCACAAGATTAGGAGGCCTAGGGAGGACGTGGATTACCACATAACAATTTAAAGTATATGGGATCACACAGCAAGGCTCAATGTAACCATACTAACTTGTACTTACCGTGAAATACAGAGGTTAATAAAAACAATATTTATAGGGACTGTTAGGGAATAATTTGCTTAGGTATTCAACCTTTGACACAGTTCATAATTTTTGTATTCATTTTTACCAATATATATTTCTTTATGTATTGCATTTTTAATTATTTTATCCTTTTTATTCCTCCTTCACTGGATTCCTCAAAACCACCTGCAGAGAGAAGTAATTCTAAATACTTGCGGCCTGTCCTATGTGGAATCTTTTAATTTATGAACCTGGGTCCTGCTGATTTTAATCACACTTCATTTTAAGACAATTCGTTTCTTATTATTGTGTTTAAATTATTATGTGGTAATCCACATCCTCCCTAAAGTAGGCCTCCTAATCTTGTGTTTTAGCCGACATTTTTTACTGCTTTCTTATGTGACATGATTTGTGAAAATGGGATCTTGTTGGCTTTGGATTATAAATGAAAGTGTGTTAATATTATGAATGAGTTATCTTAATGGTTTGTGAGCTTTAAGATAATACTGTATGATACGTAAAAAAGTCCGAACTATATAATTGATAATTTAAATGAAGTCCAAAATTATGATCTAATTTGCATTTGTAATATTGCCAAATACATGATGCTTAAATAGACATCAGGGCTGACTTTATTTGAGGGATCACAAAGATGATTGATGCATGGGCACCAAATGGTTGATAAAGGTGATTTCACATAGGCCATTAATCATATGTTATTTATCAGTGTAAACGACGGAACAGGTCACCACTTTATTTGAAGGGGCACAAACATGATGAAGTGTTACGTGCTCCCTTTTCTGTTGTCTTCTCTTTCTCTCTGCTGCGCAAGTACACCTGGTCCGCCCCTGGCTCCGCCTCCCCCAGGTGTACTACATGAATGAATTCATGCTTTTTCATGCATGAATTCATGATGATTCATGTACCCTTACCATAAAGTGTTACCCAAAAACAAATGTTGGGGGGACATTGACTTTCAGTTGCATGATGATATGTTATTGGTGAGCCTCATTAATAAAGCCTGTTAACCACCCAGCCTTTATAGTATTTAAGGTTATATTTGTGGAGACAATAACGCCACTTAAACCGTGTCTTCTTTAACTCCCACAGCCTACACTCCCATATTAATGAGAAATGAGGGTTATAAAAATGCTCTGATTCATTAAGCTCGACTTTGAGATGAAAAACCAAACTCTGCAGATCTTTTGTCTTCCTCACCATTAAGGCAAAAACATTTTCAGTTCTCTTACACAGAGTTTCTTAGGGTGTATCTACACTCCTATATTAATGAGAAATGAGGGTTATAAAAATGCTCTGATTCATTAAGCTCGACTTTGAGATGTTCCTAGTTTGTAAATTGGTTAACAGAGGACTCATTTATGTCAGTCATTTTGTTTTTAAACGTTTTTCATGATCCTTCATGGTGCATTATTTATGACCACCCTATACTTCTGTCCAAACCTCAAGTTAGCCACAAGACGATTAAGTTGTCAGAAAATACTTTATTTTAGCTGTTCATTTATTGCAGCCTTTCATGGATCTGGCATGTAAAACAAGACACGAACAAAACCCTCATTATCACTTGCCAGCAAACACAAAAGCTCTACTCTAGCTCTAAAAGCTAGTAGATCATTTTAATTCAAACATTTACATTTTTATAGATGCCATTGCTCCAACTAAGGTAAAGGAAGTGTCTGGCAAGAAAATATCTCCATGGAGAAAGGCCATGACCGTGAAAACAGAAAAAAGAGAATGTCGAAAAGCTGAACGCAGGTGGCGAAAAACAAAACTCCAGGTTCACTTTGAAATCTATAAAGAGAGACTTGGCCTTTATAATTTGGAATTGAAAAACGCACGACAATCGTTCTTCTCTGACATCATTACCAAAAACAAAAACAAGAAGAGTGATTAAGAAAAGCAAACAGAAGATCCAGGAGACATTTCCAGGTAAGTGACCCACAGCAAAGAATAACAGAAATAGAGGATAAAGATGAACAAGCAGCACACAAACGCCTCCTCTTTATGCAGAAAGGCACTAATTGGTAACAAGGAGCTGCTGAGGAGGACCAGAGTTGGGAACAGTGAGACAGATGAGCATTCGTTTGTGACATCTCTTTTAAGTATATACAGAATACACGTTTATATTATTATGGTATTAACCAACTCTAGTACAAGTTAGTCTCTCAGGTGAGAATAGCTTTTGTTTTTCATTGAGAATTTCTCAAGTGGTCATTTTTTTGTATCACTACTTTTTTCAACTTTCATTAAGCCAACTTCTGACATGGTGGCAGTTCTGCAAAGCACTAACTCTCTCATTATGCTAACATAACATTAACAGAAGTTATCAAACCCCACCCTAAGAAACTCTCTTTTTTTAATGAAGAAAGTGTGTAACTATAACTTTTTGAATTTTTGAATTAAAATGATCTACTAGCTTTTAGAGCTAGAGTAGAGCTTTTGTGTTTGCTGGCAAGTGATAATGAGGGATTTGTTCGTGTCTTGTTTTACATGCCAGATCCATGAAAGGCTGCAGTAAATGAACAGCTAAAATAAAGTATTTTCTGACAACTTAATCGTCTTGTGGCTAACTTGAGGTTTGGACAGAAGTATAGGGTGGTCATAAATAATGCACCATGAAGGATCATGAAAAACGTTTAAAAACAAAATGACTGACATAAATGAGTCCTCTGTTAACCAATTTACAAACTAGGAACATCTCAAAGTCGAGCTTAATGAATCAGAGCATTTTTATAACCCTCATTTCTCATTAATATAGGAGTGTAGATACACCCTAAGAAACTCTGTGTAAGAGAACTAAAAATGTTTTTGCCTTAATGGTGAGGAAGACAAAAGATCTGCCGAGTTTGGTTTTTCACGTTTTGTCTCTGATTTACGCAAACTCAGTGGTTATATCAGGACTTATTGTTCTGCGTTGCCCGTAGTTCAAAGCCAGTGTTTCTGCTAATACAATGTCAAAATGAGATTCTTGAATGCTACACTTGGTTAGACAAAGCCGGTCTGCAACATCTGAATCAAACACTTTGAAAAACAAAATGTTCTGCTCCTGTTTGATCTCAGACTTGTGTCTTTTTTATCAGCGTCTTCCCTCAGAGAGGCCTTTCAGTCTTGTTTGTTTTTGTTTTAACCTACACACATTAAATCCCACAGCAGAAGTCACAAATAAATGCTGAGTCTTGCCACAGTGATCACAGTCGTATGGCATTCACAATATAACCATTTAAGCCACTCAAAAACCAGAACACAAACTCAAATTTAGATGTGCAGGACTATTAAATTAGACTGCTTGTGGTCAATTTGAAATGTGTTTCCCTTCTCTCAAGCATGAAAGATCACCCAAAGTGTCACTGTTTCATTTACCATTGTTGGGGGATTAATTATCTATCTATTTTTATAGGCAATTTATTCTAGAGCCCTGCAGTAATGGCCCAAAACAGTCTGCATCAATCTATATTTTATCCATATATCATGTTTCAGTATATATATCAGTATATAGTTAAAGTGCTGACATTTACTTTTAATGGGCTAAAACTCCCAACTGATCACTTGAAATTGATGTAAACAACCTCAAACCTGAGTCAGCACTTTACCTCTACAATAAATATTTGTCTCAAACCCAATGCGCTAGGGGGATAGAGCCAGCCCAGCACAACAAAATATTGTGTGAATTTTGTTGTTATTACTCGCAACATCAGTATAGCCATCATGCTGAATAGGCAAAGAAAATCACAGCATTCATAAAAAAGGAAAACTGCAGAGAAAGAACAACTTTCTCAAGGGAAGGCCTACATGCTATGAGAAGTGACTGAAAAGAGAAACCTCTACATCACTGTTTGCCAAAGATGAGAAAATGTCCTGCACTGTCCAGAAAATAATAGCAATGAGAAAACAGATCCACCAGAGTAAATATTTGATTACCTCTGGACACATGGATGTCAATTAGCAGCCCCACTTTGTGTTTTGTCTTTCTATATATGGCAAGTGATTTTATTAAGTGGTCTCACAGCGGCCGAAGCGTCATCTGCCAACTCATTCAAATAAGTGCCAAGCCAGAAATGTTTGATGCATACAGTACAGTGACGTGCGGTGAGGTTCATGGCTGGTGAGGCACTGACTCTTTCTTTTAAATTGGACCTTAATCGAAATATTCGGTTATTTACAAAAGCTTTTTTAGTCTGATGCTTCAATTCATTTTAAACAGACCGTTCAACAAAAGGATACCCACAATCTAAATATTGGATTGTTCTTTCTTAGTAAGAACCAATTTTCATTACAATTGTGGTCTTACCTTGACTTGAAGATGAAGTCCATGCTATCCTTCTGGACAACAATCTCTATTACTTTTTTGTAAAAGTCCTCCTTATCTTCCTCTAGTTTCAAAAGTCTAGTTTGTTGTTTGCGTCTACCGTCTCTGCGTAGAATAACAGTAGCAACAAGAACCTGTGGGCTCACGTGCGCCCCCTTCAGTGCGGCAGAGGTTATGGCTGCCTCTCCTGGTGCTTTTTTCATTGCCGTTGTATGATGAGACCAGCGAGCCTAAATATCATATATACGTGAAATAAGTTATTTAGAGACTATGGATGGCGAGGATAAATGTAATAAAGGGATCTACAAACATTACATTGGTGACATACAGTGAGATGGTGCAGGCATGCGCTTAGGGCCCGCTTTCCAGACAGTTTCTGTGAGGTGACGCATTCTGAGGTGAGGCAGATCTCATCTGTGCCTCACCTCACCACACAGTAACTGGCTTGAGCGCGCTCACAAAATAAGTGCCCGCATTAAATTAGTACCCCGCGCTCCAGCCAGTTACTGTGGGCTTACGTGAGGCAGAGCTCGTCCCTGCCTCACTCCCATGTAGTTGTAGCGGAGCTCGGCCAATTTGCTGATTTTGACTATAAAAAGCGATTGGAATCATACATAAATCACACTTACAACACAGATCAGTGGAGACATTGTATTATTATTATTACTATTTAGTTTTTCTTTAGTTGTTTTTCCGTTACATTGGAGTATGACAGGTGAGGCTCTGCCTCCCCTGCATGCCTCCCCTGACTGCACGTCGCTGATACAGTAGCTATCGACAACCATCACTTTGAGCTTAGTCTCACAATGTTTCTGACACAGGCAGAAGCTGTAGCAAACATTTGAAAATGATATGTTTGGGTGAAAACACTGAATGTAATAGTGTTGTTTGTTCATTGTTTCGCACAGAACTATATTTTATAGACAGAGTGGGGTAACGAGGGGTTGAGGGAGAGATTTATTTTATAGTTAAATGATCCTGCTACATTTGTCACTCAGCCAAAAATAAACTTTCTCTGACTTGCTCCATGGCAAGGCAAAGCAAATGTATTTATATATTTATATAGCACCTTTCAGCACCAGGCAATTCAAGGTGCTCCAGAGATGTTTTGTTCTGAATTTGGTGAAAACTGCTCAAAATGTGTAGGAGGAGTAGCTAATTCAGTGGTAAATCCATATTGATGCATATGGATGTGGCTTATATGATTTGGCTATATCTTTCTGTACTCTCACTCCTTGCAGTTAAATGATTACAAGCTAAAACATCAAGTTCATTGCTTTAGGACTAGCATCTGTCCAAATTGCACCAAATTCGACAACACACTCCCCTGGGTCTTGAACAATACACAAGTGTGAGGAGGACAACTTACAGATAGACAAAGTTGCCTGGCTTTATTGTTAGAAGTCAATCTTTAACTATAAAAAAAAAAGAACAAAAGTAGCTATACCACTCATTGTATGCAGGTGTGTTAAAAGTGCAGTCGCTATTGCTACATTATTTTGTGTGTGTGGCGTCATCACCATGTTTACATCTGCAGGGTTGAACTATTGCTTTTTGTGGTGGTGCAGGTGGTGTGTTGTGTTGTTCTGACGATTAACTCTCCCTCCACAGTCTGTTCAAAGTAAATTGGTCGGTTTGCCAAGTGTTTTATATTCTAATTGCTTACTGTGTTTTATAAACAAAGTGCATGACTATTGCAAATATGACATTTAAAACTGTCTGGCAAAGCTTCCACCTACACATGTTGACCATAGAGACAATAGAAAAATAAAACTTTGTATCAGTCAAACCACCAGTCCCTCAAGATGCTTTCCAGCCGCAAAGAGCAGATTCAGTTTGACACAACGCCTCGTTGAGAGGTAAAAAACCTTCACATATCGAGACTGGAAGCAAAAAATCTGATACGTTGCAAGCCTCTGTGGCCCTTCAGTCTGAAGGATGCTTCTGATTGCATCATTACTGCACTCAGTAACGGCACAAATAAAATATGTACTGTAAAAGGATTGAGTTACCCTGCAGACAACCAGTAAAGAATCCTGATCTCTGCTCTACGGTCTCTGCTGCTCTGGAATCTCTGCTTGAGGCTCAGAAAAATCCAAATCTCCTGTTGGTACGCTAACTTCCCCCTTTCTCTGCAGACAGAAAATAATTGATGTGAGCAATAGTCTGCGTAATCTGATGTTATCTGACATATATTTCATTATAAATTGGCTCGGTGTTGAGATGAACCTGAATGGGACTCTGTCTGACTGTCAGTCCTAGAAAACGGTAAAGCAGTTACTCTGATGTTTTAAAACCCGGACACTGAATTTAAGCTCTCCTCCATTGCCCTGATGGAAAATATTTGATTTATTGTGAATATTTGAAGAAATTAATTCAGAGAAATATGTATACAATTCTTTAAAAGGGTTCCTCACTGAGCAGGAGTGTCACAACAATGTAATACAACTATAATCTTTATATTTCTTACCATTATATAATGATCAGTGTAACTGTGGGAAATACTTTTTATAATCCATTTTCGATTAACAAGCCGAATAACACCCGTTTCGGAGTTGTTGTTCCATCAAAAGGAGTGTTAATTTCTGCATACTTATTATGCCAGCAATCACAGCTCGTTTCCCGATTTGGAACAAAACAAAACAGAATATCTGTCCCTGTCCGGCCGCTCAACACTCTCAGTGTTTCGTTTTGTGTCAAAAATAAATCCTCATTCATGAAACATTTTGACACTAAAGGAGAGAAGATTAGTCACAGGCTGGGAGGTGAGGGGGTGTGAGTGGGCTTGAATTTTATATACAATTATGTGAAATGTAACTGCTCTACCCATGCTGTTTGGGAAATCCCTTTGAATATAATCATCTTAAAGATTGAGATGTAACAGTTTACTAAAAAGAACTGTCGATTTGTCATAATTATTATTCCCTAAATAATCTCACTTAGACAATTCATTATAAATCTTTTCAAGGTTTTATTGTTTTTAAATTAACTCAATATGTAGTAAGTCCCTAAAAAAGTATCATTGTCCTTGTGATGATACTGAAAAATCTCGCAGCCTTTTCACCTCCTTCTCTGATAGAAAATTCATCCTATTAATAAAATCTGATAAATAAAATCAAGTACTTATATTACCTCTCATCTCAGTCTGAGTGAGGTGGATAAGCAAAATGAAGACAGGTACGTCCATCCTGAGGCGCAGAAGTTTTCCAGCACTCATGTCTCTTCGGCTGTAACGCCTCAAACCGATCCACGATATGAGTCCCTGTAAAAAAACGACAGATAATTCAGCCAAAGTTCCGGTCAGTCCAAAATGTTAGAGCATGCCCGACATCTAAAAAAAACAGAGAGAGCGAAGTAAGCCATCGGATGAATTGTGAAGTGGCTGCACGGTGCGCAAAATCAGCGACATGCTCTCCAAATACTGTCCTCCCGGAGCTCTCCGAAGACTCTGCTTAGATCTCCCGTACAGCCGACTGCGGTGTGACAGAAATAATGTGCGAAAAAGAAATTGGCACCATGACTGATATATCTTTTTGAAGAGAGGGGAGGTGGAAGCCTCTGCGTGTGTGTGTGTGGTGTGTGTGTGTGTGTGTGTGTGTGTGTGTGTGTGTGTGTGTGTGTGTGGTGTGTGTGTGTGTGTGTGTGTGTGTGTGTGTGTGTGTGTGTGTGTGTGTGTGAGAATGAGAGAGAGACGGGGGGGCTACTTCCTGTGAAATAAAAGGAGCACTTATTGCACCCATGTTACAGGACCGGGCCCTGTACAGTATACTCCTCAGGCCTATAGCTACACTGATTTATATCGGCTTTATTTCCCAATCTTGGAACAAATAATTGTCTTTTTTTTCTAGTATTATTTGTGAGGCGGTTCCCACAGATAGGCTAGGCTTCTTAAATACACTGAACAAAAATATAAATGCGACACTTTTGTTTTTGCTCCCATTTTTCATGAGATGAACTCAAAGATCTAAAACATTTTCTATATACACAAAATAACCATTTATCTCAAATATTGTTCACAAATCTGAACAAATCTGTGATAGTGAGCACTTCTCCTTTGCCGAGATAATCCATCCCACCTCACAGGTGTGGCATATCAAGATGCTAATTAGACAGCATGATTATTGCACAGGTGTGCCTTAGGCTGGCCATAATAAAAGGCCACTCTAAAATGTTCAGTTTTATCACACAGCACAATGCCACAGATGACGCAAGTTTTGAGGGAGCGTGCAATTGGCATGCTGACAGCAGGAATGTCCACCAGAGCTGTTGCCCGTGAATTGAATGTTCATTTCTTTACCATAAGCCGTCTCCAAAGGCGTTTCAGAGAATTTGGCAGTACATCCAACCGGCCTCACAACCGCAGACCATGTGTAACCACACCAGCCCAGGACCTCCACATCCAGCATGTTCACCTCCAAGATCGTCTGAGACCAGCCACTCGGACAGCTGCTGCAACAATCGGTTTGCATAACCAAAGAATTTCTGCACAAACTGTCAGAAAACCGTCTCAAGGAAGCTCATCTGCATGCTCGTCGTCCTCTTCGGGGTCTCGACCTGACTCCGGTTCGTCGTCGTAACCGACTTGAGTGGGCAAATGCTCACATTCGATAGCGTCTGGCACGTTGGAGAGGTGTTCTCTTCACGGATGAATCCCAGTTTTCACTGTTCAGGGCAGATGGCAGACAGTGTGTGTGGCGTCGTGTGGGTGAGCGGTTTTCTGATGTCAATGTTGTTGTTACGTTCCCTATTGGGGCCTACAGCGGCTGTAACAGTTGTGAATCGAGTGGCCCATGGTGGTGGTGGGGTTATGGTATGGGCAGGCGTATGTTATGGACGACGAACACAGGTGCATTTTATTGATGGCATTGTGAATGCACAGAGATACCGTGACGAGATCCTGAGGCCCATTGTTGTGCCATTCATCCACGACCATCACCTCATGTTGCAGCGACATTGTGAGATGAGGCCCCAACCGACAGGAGTGAAACAAATGTGTTTGGAAACAAAGTAGGCTACTTTGCAAATATAATTCTTGTTTATTATTATTATTATTATCAACACAGTTACTTTTGTATACAGTGAGGTAAATGGTAAATGTGCATGTATGTCGTTCAGTATGCGTCTGCATTTCCTGCCAAATACTAGCCTCAAAAAGATTAAAATATAATTAATGCAAATAAACTTCTACTAATAATAATCATAATCAATTCAATAATATAAATACTATATTATTTTATTATAATATAGTTGTAATATAGTCAAGACAAAACATGCTTATGACATGCTCAAAAACTGATATTTCTTAAATCTGTATTCAAATAGTTCCCTCTGTCAGCAATGTATCAACAATTATACACACATTTCTATCAGTATTTCTCTGTGTTGTGGTTGACATGATGATGACTGTTAGGAGTTAAGGGAGAGGCTTAGCATCACCATGAAATGTGCAAATTGACATAAAAATGAATAAAAGGGGAAAAAATGCTCCATGTGTTTTAGGCTGTAAACTTGAACTGTTATGTAAGTCAACTAGACAGACAGTTTATCACTCTTCCTCCTGTACATTATCAGATAAAAGGCACCACATACTTGAATGAATGGTAAATAAAGAATGCTGGAAATAACAATTTGACTTATACAACATTCGCAAGTTGTACATTTGACTCATACAATAACCCACCTTCAAGTGATGCTCTAGTTTCTTTATGTTTTTTTTTTCCCCTCTTGCTTGCGCCGGACTGAAACTGTCTTTTCACCGACATCTCTTCACCTGCACTATTGCAACGGTGTCGGGTTACAGACGTGCTCCCCTTGTCACCTCTCACTCTCGCGTTTCAGCGGGGGGTGCGCGGAGAACTGCGCGGAGAACTGCGCACAGCATCTGAGGCCCTCTGGGCAAGGCGGGGCCCCGTGCAGCCTGCGTGATTGGCCTGTAGGGAGGGGCGGCCCTGCTAATCAGCATCTTGATATGCCACACCTGTGAGGTGGGATGGATTATCTCGGCAAAGGAGAAGTGCTCACTATCACAGATTTGTTCAGATTTGTGAACAATATTTGAGAGAAATGGTTATTTTGTGTATATAGAAAATGTTTTAGATCTTTGAGTTCATCTCATGAAAAATGGGAGCAAAAACAAAGTGTTGCATTTATATTTTTGTTCAGTGTAATATAAAAAAAGTGTATAATCACAAAAAAAGTAGTCCATTCTGGAAAAATCATGCAACACACACATTAGAAATCATTCTTACTTACTGTATTGTAGAAATGAAAAAGTATACTTCAAGATTTCACATTTTTTATCTATAGTTTGTGTTCTATGTAATGGATAACAAAATTCACAATATTATTCAGCTTCTCATTATTCTTGGTGATATCTACATCAACACATTGTCTGACTCAGAGCCCAGCTTTACTTGTGTTATTGTATGGCACCTCACTCCACTTTTTAAAGGGAATACATTTGATTTGAACCTGAAAGGACTGAAAGGGAATACTTATTGGCTTGTTCAAACATTATTTTAATTGTTTTTGCATTATAAGTCTATTACGGACACTTTTTAGGCACACAAATTGATGGCCTGTTTTTTGTGAGCATTTAAACCCTTCTTGCATCTGTTGCTGGGTGTCTCTGTCCCCAAACTGAGCTATTGTTAAATTCCTCTTGTTACAGTGAGTTTAACAGATCAAGTATTTGATAATGGACATAGCCAAGCTTTTATTTGCTTCAAGAATTGTAAACCAGGCAACTGACAGAAGATCCGACGGCACAGAAGTTAACCTTCAATGATGTGGCACAGATTACTTGGCAGAGCATTGATTTATAACTGCTCTGCATCATCTGAGTGTTTCAAAATGTAAAATCCAATTCAGAAATACCTGAGCATTTCTCTCATAATCCAGAATAATATTAAGAAAATTGGGCAGATATTGTTCTTTTTAATGTTTTTAACCAATACCACACAGCAGAGTAATTATTATTTAAATTAATTAGCAACCACCCGGACTTTGAGCTTTAAGAAAAAGGTCAAATGTTAATGCTATGACATATGTGGTTAGGAAACAACACTTTTTTGTGTGCCATTTAGATGTAATGGTGTTTTTTTTCTCCAATTGTGCCTTTGGGGCTGACCTCTTCTGCTCTAATCAATTTGGATTCTAATAAAAGTCTTCCATTTTGCCATTTTACAGGAACATGTGGGATATATTCTCTTGCTTTCGACACAGGACCAAACCATCTTAAACAAGGTTGTGGCAGCTTTACTCTTAGCATCTATATTAAAGGGGACCTATCATGCAAAATGCACTCTTGTACGTCTTTTATCAATCAATCAATCAATCAATCAATGTTTATTTATTTATGGACTTATGATCCATGACCACAGCCACGCCTCAAGATCCAGGGATCGCAATCCAGGACACAGGACCGCAGCAACAGGATCATCCATGACTCCGGATCCCGGCGTATATAGACACCAAAAAGAAAGACATTTGGGGAAGCTGGGTTAATCGGAACATGAGAGTACACAGGTATAGACAGAGAGAAGGAAGAAGTAAGATGTCCCCCCGACAAACTAAGCCTATATCAGCAAAACTAGGGGCTGAATCTAATCAGCCCTAACTATAAGCTTTATCAAAAAGGAAGGTCTTAAGCGCACTTTTAAAAACGGATAGGGTGTCTGCCGCCCGAACACAAACTGGAAGCTGATTCCACAAATGTGGAGCTTGATAAGAAAAGGCTCTGGCTCCCATTGTATTTTTAGAGACTCTAGGAACAACCAACAACCCTGCATTCTTGGAATGCAATGCCTTAGTAGGACAGTAGGGTATAATGAGTTATTTAAGGTAAGATGGCGCCTGCCCATTAAGGGCTTTGTAGGCGAGAAGAAGAATTTTAAATTATATCCTGTGTTCTATTGGGAGCCAGTGTAAGGCAGCCAGAACAGGAGTAATGTGGTCCCTTTTCCTAACTCTGGTTAGTACACGAGCTGCAGCATTTTGAAACAGGTGAAGCGACTTGACTGACTTCTTGGTACACCCTGATAATAAGGAGACAATAATCCAGCCTTGAAGTAACAAATGCATGGACTAGTTTCTCTGCATCGTTTTGAGGCAAGATATGCCTGATTTTTGCAATGTTACGTAGATGGAAGTAGGCGGTCCTTGAAATTGATTTATGTGGGCGTTAAAGGATAAATCCTGATCAAATATAACACCAAGATTCCTTACAGTCTCACTGGAGGCCAAATTAATGCCATCCATAGTTAGTATATCTTTAGATAATTTGTTTCGTAGATTCTTCGGGCCAAATACAATAACTTCAGTTTTGGGTCGTATTTAACATCAAAAGGTTTAAGGTCATCCATGTTTTTAAGTCCCTGAGGCAGTCTTGAATTTTATTTAGATGATTAATTTCATCAGGCTTGATTGATAAATATAGTTGAGTATCATCCGCATAACAATGAAAATGTACAGAATGATTCCTTATAATATTGCCTAACGGAAGCATATATAATGTG